CCTTGACATTTGGGAGTTGTAGTTACTGGGATTTATAGTTCACCAACAATCACAGAGCATTCTGAACCCCCCTGATGATAGAATTGGGCCAAACCTCCCACACAGAACCCCCATGACCACCAGAGTGGGCCACAGCAACACGTGGCAGGGGACGGCTAGTAATCTATATAAATAAAAATGTCATGTTCGTTTGTGGGATTAACAGAACTCAAAAACCACTGGGGAAATTGACCCCAAATTTGGACACAAGACACCTAACAACCCAATGTATGTTCTTCACTCATAAAAACACTGAAAAACACAGAAGGCACTTTAAAAGCCCCAAAAAGCTAAATGACAATACAGAAAAAAGAAGAAAGGGGGAGGGAAGGGGAGAAAAAAAAAAGAAAAGAAAGAAAGAAAAGAAAGAGGGAGGGAAGGAAAAAATGAAGGAAAGGGAGAAGGAAGCATAATTATATTACTTACAAATAAATATAAGTAAATATAAATAATATTTATATACTATAATATATAAATGTCACAAATAAATAAATAAACAAACAGTGGTATACTTACAATGATTGCCCCCTTTCTGCCCAAATGTTGTGGCCATCAAGGTTATCAGTGAAAGCCAAAGAGGGACAAATATAGGGATGTATGAGAACGTGTTATGTCCATCCAGTCTGTGCACAAGCAGGATCTACCAAGACAATACGACACTTTCAGATTCATGCTTCACACAATGAACTTTTGTCAGACAGGTATCGTTTAAGATATTATTATTATTATTATTATTATTATTAAACTTTATTTGTACCCGGCTAGCATCTCCCGCAGGACTCGATTTACAAAGGCCAAGGCCTCAACACAACAACAGCAAAACAATAACAATACAATTTAAAGCAAATTAAAAACATAAGCAATAACAAAACATTACACCATTACACAATAAAAACCAGGGCCGGGCCAGTGATGGGTACAGGTTAAAAAGTGCTGGGTGTAAGAGGTGATATGTTGGGATTCTGGGCAAGTGCAGAGTGCAGAGTCCTAAACTCTAATAAAGTGCTTCTGGGACAGAGTGCTGGAGGTTATCCTATTCTGGAAAGGCACATCGGAATAGCCAGGTCTTCAAGTTCTTCCTAAAGACTGCCAACGTAGGGTGCTAGTCTAATGTCTTTGGGGAGGGTGTTCCAAAGTCGGGGGGCAACCACAGAGAAGGCCCTGTCTCTCGTCCCCACCAAACGCGCCTGCGACGCAGGTGGGATCGCGAGCAGGGCCTCTCCAGATGAACGAAGTGAGCGCGTGGGTTCATAAATGGAGATGCGGTCACGCAGGTAGGATGGTCCCAAACCGTTTAGGGCTTTGTAGGTAAGCACCTGCACCTTGAATTGGGCTCGGAAAATAAACGGCAGCCAATGGAGCTCCTTAAACAGGAGGGTTGACCTCTCTCTGTAAGGACCAGTTAACATCCTGGCCGCCGCCCGTTGGACCAGTTGGAATTTCCGAGCCGTTTTCAAGGGCAGCCCCACGTAGAGCGCATTACAGTAGTCCAGTCTAGAGGTGACCAAGGCATGGACCACCCCGCCAGATCAGCCTTTGCGAGGTACGGTCGCAGTTGGCGCACGAGTCTCAATTCTGCAAAAGCCCTCCCGGACACCGCCGACGTAAGTGATGAATCCAAGAGGACTCCCAAACTGCGGACCTGTGGCTTCAGGGGGAGTGTAACCCCGTCCAGCACAGGTTGCCACCCTATACCCCGGTCAGGTTTTCGATCGACCAGGAGGACCTCTGTCTTGTCGGGATTGATCTTCAGCTTGTTCCTCCTCATCCAGATAGACACAGCGGCCAGGCACTCGTCCAGCACGAGGGGCTTCCTTGGAATTAGGTGGAAACGAGTAGTAGAGTTGCACGTCATCTGCGTAGAGATGGCACCCAACTCCAAAACTCCGGATGACCTCTCCCAGCGGTTTCATGTAGATGTTAAAATGCATGGGAGACAGAATAGAGCCTTGCGGGACCCCACAGGTCAAAGGCCAGGGGTCCGAGCAGGCATCTCCCAGCTTCACCATCTGGGATCGGCCCTCCAGGAAGGACCGGAGCCACGACAGAACCGTGCCCCCGAGACCCATCCCAGAGAGTCGCCCCAGAAGGATACCATGATCGATGGTATTGAAAGCCGCTGAGATGTCCAAGAGAACCAACAGATAAGCAAGGACTGGGTATACTTTTGAAATCCAAACATCTTAGCATCATACAACCAGCCCTCCTGAGGCTAGGAGTGAGTGCAGGATGCTTGGGAAAGTGAAAAGCCTGAAATAGGGTATTTTTAGCCTTAAAAAACTTCTTTTCTAGGAATCCCTGTGCTTTACTCTTCCAGGAGGCTGAACATGCAACCATGCTGCAGAAGAGATGCAAGAGAACTGAAACACAACGAGGACCAAGTACCAAAAGCACAATAATCCCAATTAAACAGCTCAGGGGAAGATCTCAGGGGCTCACATGTCTTTACACTAATGCACAGAGCATGGGAAATAAACAAGACGAACTCCAACTTTTAGCACAACACCACAAATATGATATCATAGGCATCACTGAAACCTGGTGGGATGACTCCTATCACTGGAATGTAGACATCGAGGGCTATAACCTCTTTCACAGAAACCAAACAAAGGGGAGAGGAGGCGGAGTAGCTTTATATGTCAAAAACTGTTATGCTGCAGAAGAGATGCAAGACAGCAATCCAGGAAACCAGCTTGAAAGCATCTGGATAAGAATCAAGGGAACTGGGACTGAAAAAGATGTCATTGTAGGCGTCTACTACAGACCTCCAAGCCAGGAGGAAGAACTTAATGAAGTCTTCTGCCAACAGTTGACAAAACAGGCACAGAGAAGAGATGTAGTAGTCATGGGCGATTTCAACTATCCCGATATTTGCTGGAAAACAAACTCGGCCAAGAGTACAAGGTCCAACAAATTCCTCGCTTGCCTTGCAGACAATTTCATGGTCCAGAAGGTAGAAGAGGCAACAAGGGGATTGGCTACTCTTGATCTCATCCTAACAAATGCGGAGGACCTGATCGATGCGGTTGAAGTGGTCGGATCCTTAGGGGCAAGTGACCATGTGCTCCTGCAATTGGAGGTACAAAGGAAGGCCAAAACTAAGACAAGTCAAACCCACATTTTGGACTTTAGGAGAGCAGCGTTCCATGGACACAGATACTAAAAGACAAGGGAGTTACGGATGGATGGGAATTTCTCAAGAGTGAAATACTCAAGGCGCAATTGCAAACCGTGCCAACAAAGAGAAAAATAGGACAAGTGCAAAGAAGCCAGAATGGATGTCCAAAGAACTTCTAACTGAGCTAAGACACAAAAGAGACATGCACAAGAAGTGGAAAAAGGGAGAAATCACCAAAGAAGAATTCAAACAAATAGCCAACACCTGTAGGGAAAAGGTCCGCAAGGCTAAAGCACAAAACGAGCTCAGGCTTGCCAGGGACATTAAAAACAATAAAAAGGGATTCTTTTCTTATGTCAGTAGAAAAAGGAAAAACAAGAAGGTGATAGGGCCTCTTCGAGGAGAAGATGGGGCAAATCTGACAGGGGATAGGGAAAAGGCAGAACTACTTAATGCCTTCTTTACCTCGTCTTCTCACAAAAAGAAAGTCATCTTCAACCTCAGCAAGATGGAGTGGATGAGGGATTAGAGGACATCCAACCCCAAATTGGGAAACAAGTCGTCCAGGAATACCTGGCCGCTCTCAATGAGTTCAAGTCCCCAGGGCCAGATCAACTACACCCTAGAGTACTGAAGGAACTAGCGGAAGTCATTTCGGAACCATTGGCAATCATCTTGGAGAGTTCTTGGAGAACGGGAGAAGTTCCAGCAGACTGGAGGAGGGCCAATGTGGTCCCAATCTTCAAGAAGATTTTGTTGCAACAGTGACAGCCTTTAAATACTTATTTCTAAATGCCCACAATGTAAGCAATGTTCGGACTTACCTCAAAGGTGAGTAGTGGGACTACAATGGTCATCCAACTGATCGCCATTGTTATGTGTGTTCTCCTTTGCTCAGCAATGACATCCATTGAACGCAGGAACAGGACGGACCAGACGATGTAATAGAGTACAACCAAACACAAAAAAGACATGAGGATCCACAAAGGGACACACACAACCTAGAAACAGAACAGGATGAAAGAAGTAATTGATTACTTGGAGTCACAGAGTGGGAAAAGACCAACCCCCTTCTGCCATGCAGGAAAAGCACAATAATAGTAGTAGTAGTAGTAGTAGTAATAATAATAATAATAATAATAATCTTTATTTAATACCCCGCCACCACCACTCAGGGTGGCTTACATGAGGCCAAGCCCAACAGCATATTACAACAAAATAAAGCTAAACACAATAACAGTGTAAAATACATAGATATGAGTACAAAAAAAACCCCATGATATTTATATAGATAAAATCATCTATATAAATAAAAATGTAATGCTCGTTTGTGGGATTAACAGAACTCAAAAACCACTGGACGAATTGACACCAAATTTGGACACAAGACACCTAACAACCCAATGTATGTCCTTCACTCAAAAAAATGATTTTGTCATTTGGGAGTTGTAGTTGCTGAGATTTATAGTTCACCTACAATCAAAGAACATTCTGAACCCCACCAACGATGGAATTGAACCAAACTTGGCACACAGTTCTCCCATGACCAACAGAAAATACTGGAAGGGTTTGGTGGGCAGTGTCCTTTGGTTTTGGAGTTGTAGTTCACCTACATCCAGAGATCACTGTGGACTCAAACAATGATGGATCTGGACCAAACTCTACAAGAATACTCAGTGGAGTTTGGGGAAAATAGAATAGAGTAAAATAATAAATGCAATAAAAATAATACTAGTAACAGAGTAAAATAGTAAATAACATTGACTCGAGTATAAGCCAAGGGCGAGAAATGCAGCAGCTACTGGTAAGTTTCAAAACAGAAATAGATACCAATAAAATGACATTAATTGGGGCACCAGTAGAGTAAATATTCAAACATATTTAAATAAAATTGTAATTTAAGATAAAGCTGTCCAACTCATTAAACTATTATTCTAACCTTCTTCAATGTAAATGTGCTTACATATCCTTCCAATAATAATAAAGGGAGTAAAATAATAAATGTAATAATAACAATAAAGAGTAAAATAATAAATGTAATAATAATAATAATAATAATAATAATAATAATAATAATAAATAGAGTAAAATAATAAATGCAATAAAAATAATACTAGTAACAGAGTAAAATAGTAAATAACATTGACTCGAGTACAAGCCAAGGGCGAGAAATGCAGCAGCTACTGGTAAGTTTCAAAACAGAAATAGATACCAATAAAATGACATTAATTGGGGCATCAGTAGAGTAAATATTCAAAAATATTTAAATTTAAGATAAGATAAAGCTTTAAGATAAAGCTGTCCAACTCATTAAACCATTATTCTAACCTTCTTCAATGTAAATGTGCTCACATATCCTTCCAATAATAATAAAGGGAGTAAAATAATAAATGTAATAATAATAATAATAATAATAAATAGAGTAAAATAATAAATGCAATAAAAATAATACGAGTAACAGAGTAAAATAGTAAATAACATTGACTCGAGTATAAGCCAAGGGGAGATTTTTCAGCCTAAAAAAGGGGCTGAAAAACTAGGCTTATACTCGAGTATATACAGTATTTTTGTATTAATGTATTATGATGCTATTATGTTTATTCTATTTGTGTATGAATTTTCTGCTGTTAGCCGGCCTGAGTCCCTCTTCGGAGGTCGAGAAGACCGGCTTATAAAAGCTCCAAATAAATAAATAATTAGTAGTAGTAGTAGTAGTATTAGATACCCGCCCCCCAACCTGGTGCCATCCCCACCGTAAGCATATTTTCCATCCCACCATCCACATAAAAAACTTTTCAAATGACATAAGCACGGTTTACATACAAGCCATGGCCACTTGATAATTTCATCCAGGCGGAGAGCAATAAATATGAACTGGAGAATGTTGACAGAACACAGGATTTCCAGCTATGGGATCAAGAAAGAGATATATCAGAATCAACTGCATTTTGATGCAACAGACAGATCTTATATTTTAATATACTATTCCAGAGGAATAGTATTTTGCTTTCCATGTGGCCCTTGTCAAGAAATAAAACACGTGCAAAAACGCAAATTAGGAAATAAATGCAACACCAAAAAGAGTCTTTGGATAATTAATAATAATAATAATCAACCTTTATTTATACCCCGCTACCATCTCCCGCAAGACTCGGTGCGGCTTACAAAAGGCCGAGCCCAAATACATCATAAAAACATAACACCAACAATACAACAATAAATAACTCATAACAATGCAAAGCAATACATTAATGCAAAACAATACAATAATAACACGACACATTTTAAAAACCTGTGGCGGGGCCAAATGTAAGGATTAAAATTTAAAAATGCTGGGCATGTCCAAGGGAAATAGGATGGATATTTTAGAGATAGGAATAAAATTTCATAATTCATATGTCGCTTTATAGGGGCAGTATTACATGCAGTATTAATAATAATAGTACTATATAATAGTATAGTACAATATAGTAATATTTAATACTGATATTGCACTATACTAATAACATAATATATATATATTGTGTGTGTGTATAATTATAATATATAATAATAATAATAATAATAATAATATTATTATTATTATTATTATTATTATTATTATTATTATTATTATTATTATTATATCACATTACATTAAAACCTGGTCTGAGAGCCTCTACGGAGGTGAAAAGATCAGGATATAAAAGTTTTAAATAAATAAATATAAATAATATTGCCTTTGTTTACGTTCCATTTCTCAACCTGAGTAATTATCCTGTATCCCCAGCCGCCTTCACGTGGTGAGCACTCAAATGCGCAACGAAAGTCTCACCTCCAGGGATCTGTCATGCCGAAAGCCCCACACGCAAGCTGCAACGGACACTGGAGAGACGAAGAACAGTGGCATGAAGACGAGAAGCCAGAAGCGAGTTCCTCTTTCAATGCCGTCACAAACCAGGACTTCAAACATCAGGAGGAGCAAATGGATGCCGACTGCAATTAGCATGGCTTTGAACTCCACGCATGTTTCTCCTTCTGCTCTAAAAAGAGTCCAAAACGTATACAATTCATTCTGTTAGTCCACACCATCATCTCCTTCACACACCATTGTTTACTTCGGTCTCTATTCACGGGAAAGTGCTTTTACAGAAATGGGTCTTGTATACTGTAATTATGGGGGCAACACAAATGACCGCAGTGGTTCTCAACCTTTCTAATGTGGAGACCCCTAAATAAAGTTCCTCATGTTGTGGTGACCCTCAACCATATTTTCGTTGCTACTTCATAAATAATGCAAATATCTAATATGCAGGATGTATTTTCATTGTACCAAATTGAACATAATTAAAGCATAGTGATTAATCACAAAAACAATATGTTTGGGTGAGTATGGTCAACAGATGATGGGATCTGCAGTACCTTCAACCAACTCAGCTCTGACTTCGACAGACCACTGAGATCCCCCACAAATTACAGGCCTGGGCCAAAATTGGCACACAGAACTCCCATGACCAAGAGAAAATATTGGAGGAGTTTGGGAGGAATTGACAGTGATTTATGGGAGATGTAGTTCACCTACATCCAAAAAGCACCGTGAACCCAAATGACTATGGATCTGGACCAAACTTGGCATAAATACTCAATATGCCCAATTTTGAACAATGGTGGAGTTTGGGGGAAATGCATCTTGACATTTGGGAGTTGCAGTTGCTGGGATTTATAGTTCCTCTGCCATCAGAGAGCATTCTGAACTCCAACAAAAATGGAATCGAAGAAGCTTGGCATACAGAACTCCCATAACCAACAGAAATTACTGGAGAGTTTTGGGGTTATTTTCCTGACATTTGGGAGTTGCTGGGATATATAGTTCCCTCCCATCCAAAAGTATTCTGAACTCATGCAACCAGGGAATGGACTAAAATTTGGCACAGAGAATTCCCATGATCAACAGAAAATACTAGAGAGGCTTGGGAAACATAGATCTTGGCATTTTGGAGCTGCTGGGATATATAGTTCCCTCCCATTCAAAAGCATTCTCAACTCATGCAACCATGGAATGGGCTCAAACTTGGCACAGAGAACTCTCATGGTCAACGGAAAATACTGGAGAGGCTTGGGAGACATGGACCTTGGCATTTTGGAGCTGCTGGGATATATAGTTCCCTCCCATCCAAAAGCATTCTGAACTCATGCAGCCATGGAATGGACTCAAAATTGGCACAGAGAACTCCCACGATCAACAGAAAATACTGGAGAGGCTTGGGAGTCATTGATCTTGGCATTTTGGAGCTGCTGGGATATATAGTTCCCTCCCATCCAAAAGCATTCTGAATTCATGCAACCATGGAATGGACTCAAACTTGGCAAAGAGATCTCCCTCCACCTGTCCCCCGCCCCCTTCCGAGCTCTAAACCGCTGGTCTAGAGATTGCTTAAATGCTGAGCTTTGCATGCAGAAGATCTAGGTTTCAACTGGTTTCCCTTGTTAGGACTAAAATATTTCCCTCATGAAATCTGAGAAAGATATTTTCAGTATTGGAGAACGCAGACTACTGGCTGGACTCTCAACACTAAGAGGTTTGAGCCTTTAGTAATTCAAGCATTACCACCATCCTGCAGCCTTCCAGAAAGCCATATTGTCAGGGGACTCAGCTTGCATTGCAACAACGATTCACAAATACTCTGCAGCATTGTACAGAGCAACCTATTTCACAGAATTACAGAAAAATCACAGCACTCTTACCGATACTGTGGGTTTCGTGCCCACACTCCAGTTCCGACTGAAGCACCGACAATGACCATCAACTTCCACAGCCATATTGGAGCAAACACTGCCCAATAGCTCCACTGAATCTTGTCATCCAAACGGAGAGAAAGCAAAACTGAGAACAGCAGCAGGCAGGCATAGATGAGGAATTTACTGTTTCAAAAGATGAGAAAAAGGACAGTTTTAAGCCATGTTGGTTTCTAAAATGTATATCCTGGGACAGGGGTCCTCACACCTTTTAAACAGAGGGCCAGATCACAGTCCCTCAAACTGTTGGAGGGCCGGATTATAATTTGAAAAACACATGAATGAATTCCTATGCACACTGCACATATCTTATTTGTAGTGCAAAAAACACTTAAAAGCAATACAATAATTAATATGAAGAACAAGTTTAACAAATATAAACTTATTAGTATTTTAGTGGGAATATTGAAAATATTATAATGTAATACAATCTATATATATAAAAATGCTCTGTGCATAATGAGTTCCTTAAAAATAAAAGAACCAATGAACGAAATCACACCAAATCTCTTAATGAGACATGCCGCATTATCACGGGGTGCCTGCGCCCTACAACACTGGAGAAATTACACTGCTTAGCCGGTATTGCACCACCTGACATCCGCCAGGAAGTTGCAGCCAAGAGTGAAAGGACCAAGTCAGAGACATCTCTGGCTCATCTCCTGTTTGGGTCTCAGCCAGCACGTCTACGACTTAAATCTAGAAATAGTTTTCTAAGATCTATAGAGACACTCGCTGGAACACCCCAGCAAGCGAGAGTCCAAAAGTGGCAGGCTCAAACCCAGAACCTCAACCAATGGCTGATACCAAATGAGAGACTCCCCCCTGGGCACACAGAAGAAGACTGGGTGACTTGGAAGGCGCTGAACAGACTGCGCTCTGGCACCACGAGATGCAGAGCCAACCTTCAGAAATGGGGCCACCAAGTGGAGTCCACGACATGGTTGGAACCGGTCTGAGTCCCTCAAGAGAGGTGAGAAGGCCGGTATACAAAACTTTTAAATAAATAAATAAATAAAATTTGTTCTGTTAGAAATGTAATATAATTGACTGGTTGCCCTGACACGACAAAAAAAAAAAAAAAAAAAAAAAAGCTCCCTGCTTGAGTGGTGATGGCATGATCATCACCATAGAGGAAACTCTCTGTCCCTTCTGGCAGTGGCTGGTCATTTGTGTAAATGTTGAACCTTGGAGGTGTCTATGGGCAACGCCGGCTCTTTGGCTTAGAAATGGAGATGAGCACCAGAGTCCCAGAATTGGACACAACTGGACTTAATGTCAGGGGAAAATTTATTTTATTTATTTATTTATTTACTTTGCTTGTATACTGCAATTTCTCAGCCTTGTAGGCGACTCAATGTGGTTTACAACAAGAGCAAAAGTCAATCCAACAGCATACAAAATTTAAAAACCATTAACAGCAAATATACAAAATGACACATCAATAACAACACATTAACGTCTCGTAACTAGAATCGTGATCCAATTCGTCTTCCATAATTCCGTTTCCTATATTCATCGTGTACATTGCCTTGTTTAACCGAACGCCTGTTCGAACAGCCAGGTTTTTAGTTTTCTTCGAAACACCATTAACAAAGGGGCTGATCTAATGTCCATGGGAAGGGCGTTCCACAGCCGAGGGGCCACCACAGAAAAGGCCCTGTCCCTCGTCCTCGCCAGCCGTGCCTGTGATGCAGGTGGGATAGAGAGCAGGGCCTCCCCAGAAGATCTTAGGGTCCTGGCGGGCTGATAGGCAGAGATACGTTCGGATAGGTAACTTGGGCCAGAACCGTTTAGGGCTTTAAAGGCCAACGCCAGCACTTTGAATTGAGCCCGGTAGCAGATCGGCAGCCAGTGGAGCTGGAGCAGCAGAGGAGTGGTATGCTCCCTGCGCTCCGCTCCTGTTAGTGACCATTTGAAGCTTCCGAGCGGTCTTCAAAGGCAACCCCACGTAGAGAGCGTTGCAGTAGTCTATGGGATGTGACCAGAGCGTGGACTACCATGGCCAAGTCAGACTTCCCGAGGTACGGGTGCAGCTGGCGCACAAGCCTAAGCTGTGTGAATGCTCCCCTGGTCACCGCCGAAACCTGGGGTTCCAGGCTTCCAGAACCTTTGCTTTTAACTCTTGTAGTATAATAATACAACATAAAGCAACACACACAGACACACATATATATAATACTAGTAATAACATTGCAGCATGATGGCATAATACAATAATATATAACAGTAATATTATGCTATGTGAATATTATATCTATATTAATAATAGTAATATTGCACGGCAATACAATATAAATATGAATGAGAAGGTAATAGAATCCTCTATCTCAGTGGTTCTCAACGTTCCTAATGCTGCGACCCCTTGATACAGTTCCTCATGTTGTGGTGACCCCCAACCATAACATTATTTCGTTGCTATTTCATAAATGTCATTTTGCTACTGTTATGAATCGCCATGTAACTATCTGATATGCAGGATGTATTTTCATTCACTGGACCAAATTTGGCACAAATACCCAATACGTCCAAATTTGAATACTGGTGGGGTTGGGGGGGGGGCGTGAATTTGTCATTTGGGAGTTGTAGTTGCTGGGATTTATAGTTCATGTACAATCAAAGAGCATTCTGAACTCCACCAATGATGGAATTGACGAAACCTGGCACACAGAACTCCCACGACCAAAGGAGAATACTGGAAGGGTTTGGTGGTGGTTGACCTTGAGTTTGGGAGTTGTAGTTCACCTAGATCCAGAGGAGCACGGTGGATTCATGCAATGATGGATCTGGACCAAACTTGGCACGAAGACTCACTATGCCCAAATGTGAACACTGGTGGAGTTTGGGGAAGATAGAATCTTGACATTTGGAAGTTGTAGTTGCTGGGATTTATAGTTCACCTACAATCAAAGAGCAATCTGAACCCCACCAACGATAGAATTGAACCAAGCTTCTCACACAGAACTCTCATGACCAACAGAAAATACTGTTTTCTGGTGGTCTTTGGAGACCCCTGTGACACCCCCTCAGGGGTCTATCTTCTACTGGAGGTTGCTCTGTGTTTGGAGGCCCCATTCTCGCGAGATCCCCGTGGCTGGGGCCTGTTCCTCTCGCGAGACCTCCCCGCAGGCCTTCTCCTCCTCACCTAGGGTTGAAGTCCTGGAAGAGGCCCCGCAGGTTCATGGCGATGCTGCTCCTCCCGACGCCGCCGCCCTGCCTCACAGCACACTGCCCAGCGCCATCGCCGGAAGAGGAACGGGGAAGAAGGCTCCCGGCCGGAAAGGAGAGCAACCGCCTTCCGCTTCCCCCTCACAGCGGCCCGGCCGCACTGCGCCTGCGCCGCGCTCCGAGCATGCCCAGTAGGCGGCACGAAGCCACGCCCACCCTGACAGGCTGCGCATGCGCTGTTTCAAGGCTACAGAGAGACAGGCTTCTGGCACGACTAGGCCTGTTCTTCCTGCCTTCTCTCTCTCTCTTCTTCTTCCTTCCTTCCTTCCTTCCTTCCTTCCTTCCTTCCTTCCTTCCTTCCTTCCTTCCTTCCTTCCTTCCTGCCTTCCTTCCTTCCTTCCTTCTTTCCTTTTCCTTTCTTCTTCTTTCTTTCTTTTTCCTTTTCTTCTTTCTTCTTTTCTCTTTTCTTTTTTCTTTTTTTCTTTCTTCTTTCTTCCTTCCTTCCTTCCTTTCTTTTTCTTTTTTCCTTTCTTTCTTCCTTTTTTCTTTTCTTCTTTCTTCCTTTCCTTTTTTTCCTTCTTCTTTCTTTCTTTCTTTTCCTTTTTTCTTTCTTCCTTTCTTTTTCCTTCCTTTTTCTTCCTTCCCTTTTTCTTCCTTTTTTCTTTTTCTTTTTTCTTTTCCTTTCTTCCTTCTTTTTTCCTTTCTTTTTTTCTTTCTTTTTTTCCTTTCTTTTTCTTTTTCTTCCTTTCTTCTTCCTTCCTTTTTCTTCTTCCTTTTTTTCCTTTCTTTTTTCTTTTTTTTTTTTCCTTTCTTTTTTTCTTTTTTCCTTTTCTTCTTTTTTCCTTTCTTTTTTTCTTTCTTTTTTCCTTTCATTTTTCTTTTTTCCTTCCTTTTTTCTTTCTTTCTTTTTTCCTTTCTTCCTTCTTTTTTCCTTTCTTTTTTCTTTCTTTTTCCTTTCATTTTTCTTTTTTCCTTTCTTCTTCCTTCCTTCCTTTTTTCTTTCTTTCTTTTTTCCTTTCTTTTTTCTTTTTTCCTTTCTTCCTTCTTTTTTCCTTTCTTTTTTCTTTCTTTTTTCCTTTCATTTTTCTTTTTTCCTTTCTTCTTCCTTCCTTCCTTTTTTTCTTTCTTTTTTCCTTTCTTTTTTCTTTTTTCCTTTCATTTTTCTTTTTTCCTTTCTTCTTCCTTCCTTCCTTTTTTCTTTCTTTCTTTTTTCCTTTCTTCTTCCTTCCTTCCTTTTTTTTCTTTCTTTTTTCCTTTCTTTTTTCTTTTTTCCTTTCTTCCTTCTTTTTTCCTTTCTTTTTTCTTTCTTTTTTCCTTTCATTTTTCTTTTTTCCTTTCTTCTTCCTTCCTTCCTTTTTTTCTTTCTTTTTTCCTTTCTTTTTTCTTTTTTCCTTTCATTTTTCTTTTTTCCTTTCTTCTTCCTTCCTTCCTTTTTTCTTTCTTTCTTTTTTCCTTTCTTCTTCCTTCCTTCCTTTTTTTTCTTTCTTTTTTCCTTTCTTTTTTCTTTTTTCCTTTCTTCCTTCTTTTTTCCTTTCTTTTTTCTTTCTTTTTTCCTTTCATTTTTCTTTTTTCCTTTCTTCTTCCTTCCTTCCTTTTTCCTTTCTTTCTTTTTTCCTTTCTTTTTCTTTTTCTTTCTTTCTTTCTTTCTTTCTTTCTTTCTCGCTCTCTCTTTCTGGAGACTCGATATGCCCAAATGTGGACACTGGTGGAGTTTGGGGAATATAGAACTTGACATTTGGGAGTTCTCGTTGCTGGGATTTGTAGTTCACCTACAATCAGAGAGCATTCTGAACCCCACCAGCAATAGAATTGGGCCAGACTTCCCACACAGGACTCCCATGATCAACAGAAAATACTATAAGTGATTGGTGAGCCCTGACCTTGAATTTGGGAGTTGTAGTTCAGCTGAATCCAGAGAGCACTGTGGACTCAAACAATAATGGATCTGGACCAAACTCTACAGGAATACTCAATATGCCCAAATGTGAACACTGGTGGAGTTTGGGGAATATAGAATGGATTTTTTTAATAGTTTTAAATTGTTTTTATATTAATTTTATTATGAGATTTAACCTGTTTTAAACTATGTATCCCACTGGAGCATTGCAGCGCACCCAGATACCTGGGAGGAGTCACCCTGGACCGTGCTCTGACCTACAAGAAGCACTGCCTGAACATCAAACAAAAAGTGGGTGCTAGAAACAATATCATACGAAAGCTGACTGGCACAACCTGGGGATCACAACCAGACACAGTGAAGACATCTGCCCTTGCGCTATGCTACTCTGCTGCTGAGTATGCATGCCCAGTGTGGAATACATCTCACCACGCTAAAACAGTGGATGTGGGTTTAATGAGACATGCCGCATTATCACGGGTGTCTGCGCCCTACACCACTGGAGAAATTACACTGCTTAGCCGGTATTGCACCACCTGAGCAGCCAATAGTGAAAGGACCAAGGCAGAGACATCTCCAGCTCATCCCCTGTTTGGGTATCAGCCAGCACGTCAACAACTTAAATCTAGAAATAGTTTTCTAAGATCTACAGAGACACTGCTGGAACACCTCAGCAAGCGAGAGTCCAAAAGTGGCAGGCTCAAACCCAGAACCTCCAATCCGTTGGTGATACCAGATGAGAGACTCCCCCCTGGGCACACAGAAGACTGGGCGACTTGGAAGGCGCTGACCAGACTGCGCTCTGGCACCACGAGCTACAAAGTGGAATCCTCGACATGCGGGTGTGGAGAAGAGCAAACCACTGACCACCTGCTGCAATGCACCCTGAGCCCTGCCACATGCACCATGGAGGACCTTCTTGTGGCAACACCAGAGGCACTCCAAGGGGCCAGATACTGGTCAAAGGACATTTAACCAACTACCAAACTCACAAATTTTGTATTTGACTGAGGTCCTCCTGGTCGATTGTAAACCAGATCCAGGTATAGGGTGGCAACCTGTGCTGGACAGGGTCGCACTCCCCCTGAAGCCACAGGTCTGCAGTCTGGGTGTCCTCCTGGATTCTTACATTTGCGGCTCAGGCGTCGGCGGTGGCTGGGAAGGCCTTTGCACAACTGAGACTCGTGCGCCAACTGCGACCGTACCTCGGGAAGGCGGATCTGGCCAAGGTGGTCCACGCCTTAGTCATCTCTAGACTGGATTACTGCAATGCACTCTACGTAGGGCTGCCCTTGAAAACGGCCCAGAAATTTCAGATGGTCCAACAGGCGGCAGCCAGGTTGTTAACTGGGGCTCCGTACGGGGAGTGGTCAACACTCCTGTTTAAGGATCTCCACTGGTTGCCATTCATTTTCTGGACCCAATTCAAGGTGCAGATTCTTACCTACAAAGCCCTGAACAGTTTGGGACCCGCCTACCTGCGTGACCGCATTTCTGTGTACAAACCCACACGATCTCTTCGTTCATCTGGAGAGGCCCTGCTCTCGATCCCACCTGCATCGCAAGCGCGATTGGTGGGGAAGAGAGAGGGCCTTTTCGGTGGTGGCCCCTCAACTCTGGAACTCACTTCCTAAGGACATCAGGCAGGCCCCAACCCTGGCAGTCTTTAGGAGGAGCTTGAAGACGTGGCTGTTCCAGTGTGCCTTCCCAGAATAATGATCCCATAGCACTTTGTCCTCCAAAGCACTTGATATTTTTTAGTTCTGCTTGTACGTTTTCCACAAACGCCACTATCGCTTTTTCGCCCATGCTCCAGCATTACTTTCAATTTTAACTTTACATTTGGCCTTCCCACAGTTTTAATTGTGTGTTGTCTTATTGTTAATGTTGCATATTTTATTGTCCATGTTTTTTTAAATTTTAATTGCTTGTATTGTTGTTATTATTGCGTGTATTGTTGTATTTGGGCTCGGCCTCATGTAAGCCGCACCGAGTCCCTTGGGGAGATGGTAGCGGGGTACAAATAAAGTATTATTATTATTATTATTATTATTATTATTATTATTTTCCTGCCACTTTTGCTTGAAACCTAAGATGATGGAAGCAACAGCAGCAGTAGTTGTTCATTCGTTCAGTCGTCTCCGACTTTTCGTGACCTCATGGACCAGCCCACGCCAGAGCTCCCTGTCGGCCGTTACCACCCCCAGCTCCTTCAAGGTCAGTCCAGTCACTTCAAGGATGCCATCCATCCATCTTGCCCTTGGTCGGCCCCTCTTCCTTTTGCCTTCCACTTTCCCCAGCATAATTGTCTTCTCTAGGCTTTGCTGTCTCCTCATGATGTGGCCAAAGTACTTCAACTTTGTCTCTAGTATCCTTCCCTCCAGTGAGCAGTCGGGCTTTATTTCCTGGAGGATGGGCTGGTTGGATCTTCTCGCAGTCCAAGGCACTCTCAGCACTTTCCTCCAACACCACAGCTCAAAAGCATCGATCTTCCTTCGCTCAGCCTTCCCTAAGGTCCAGCTCTCACATCCGTAGGTTACTACAGGGAATACCATGGCTTTGACTAGGCGTTCTTTGTTGCCAGTCTGATGTCTCTACTCTTCACTATTTTATCGAGACTGGACATTGCTCTCCTCCCAAGAAGTAAGCGTCTTCTGATTTCCTGGCTACAGTCTGCATCTGCAGTAATCTTTGCACCTAGAAATACAAAGTCTGTCACGGCCTCCACGGTTTCTCCCTCTATTTTCCAGTTGTCAATAATTCTTGTTGCCATAATCTTGGTTTTTTTGACGTTTAGCTGCAACCCGGCTTTTGCGCTTTCTTCTTTCACCTTGATTAGAAGGCTCCTCAGCTCCTCCTCGCTTTCGGCCATCAGAGTGGTGTCATCTGCATATCTGAGGTTGTTAATGTTTCTTCCAGCAATTTTCACCCCAGCTTTGCATTCATCCAGCCCCGCACATCGCATGATGTGGTCTGCATACAAGTTAAAAAGGTTGGGTGAGAGGATGCAGCCTTGCCGTACGCCGTACTAGATAAAATACATTTAATCAATGTGAATTTAATTTAAAATGACTTATCATTCGGTAATCGACTTCCACACTGCTGTATTATTCAGTGCAAAGCAGGCAATCTGGATTTTCTCTGGCAGAGGAGAAGGGGCCTCCTATAATCCAGTTCAAAGCAAATAATGTGGACTATCTGCTTTGATGATCTGGATTCTTACGTACGTACTTACTTAGGCGATCCCTCGTAGTCCAAGGATGATGGTTCTCCAAGTGTAGTGTCCTGGCGGTGGGTCCGTAGGTAACTGTGGAGCCCTATTCTTGAGCTATGAGGGTGGAAGGCGGTCCCGGTTGGGGTTGGCTTGATGCGCCTTGTTTGCTTGGAAAGATCCATGCTTAAGTGCCTTTGTTGCATGGTTTTGATTCTATGCGTTTATATTCATGCCTTGGATTCATGTTTCCTGTTTTTTTGGATTTTATTAGAGAAGTTTTTGCCTTTGTTTTTCATGGACTTTGATGAACTATTTCCCTGGACTACTTTGTTCCGGCTTATCTTCCTACCTAATTGGATGACCCAAACAAAAGGATGACCCAAACAATTACCGTAGGTCAGCCTCACGTCGATACCGGGCAAGATTCTGGAAAAGATTGTGAAGGAAGTGGTCTGCAAACACTTAGAAACAAATGCGGTCATCGCTAAGAGTCAACATGGATTGATCAAAAACAAGTCATGCCAGGCTCATCTGATCTCTTTCTTCGATAGAGTTACAAGCTGGGTAGATGCACACGGGGAATGATTATTATTAAACTTTATTTGTACCCCGCTAGCATCTCCCAAGGGTAGATGCGGGGAATGATGCCGTGGATGGAGCGTTCCTGGATTTCAGGAAGGCCTTCTTTGACAAGGTCCCCCATGACCTTCTGGCAAGGAAACTAGTCCCATGTGGGCGAGGCAAAACTACGGTGAGGTGGATCTGGAATTGGTTAAATGGACGAACCCAGAGGGTGATTCTCCTCAGTGCTTCCTCTTCGAAAGAAGTGACGAGTAGAGTGCCATCCGCAGGGTTCCGTCCTGGGCCCGGTCCTGCTCAGGATCTTTATTAATGACTTAGATGAAGGGCGAGAAGGCAGGATCATCAAGTTTGCAGACGGGACCAAATTGGGAGGGAGAGCCAAGACTCCAGAGGACAGGAGCAGGATTCAAAGGGATCTTGACAGATTAGAGAGATGATGGGCCAAAACTAACAAAATGAAGTTCAACAGGGACAAATGCAAGAGACTCCACTTAGGCAGAAAAACGAAATGCAAAGAGACAGAATGGGGGACGATGAGGCCTGGCTCGAGAGCAGGACGTGTGAAAAAGATCTTGGATTCCTTGTGGGGAGGAAGGGAAACATGAGCCAGGAATGTGATGTGGCGACAAAAAAAGCCAATGGGATTTTGTCCTGCATCAAGAGGAGCCTAGTGTCTAGATCCAGGGAAGTCATGCTCCCCATGCTCTATTCCGCTTTGGTTAGACCACTTTACCTGGAATATTGTGTCCAATTCTGGGCACCACAATTCAAGAGAGATATTGACAAGCTGGAATGTGTCCAGAGGAGGGCGACTAAAATGATCAAGGGTCTGGAGAACAAGCCCTATGAGGAGCGGCTTAAGAGCTGGGCATGTTTAGCCTGAAGAAGAGAAGGCGGAGAGGAGATATGATGAGGGCCATGTATAAATATGTGAGAGGAAGCCACAGGGAGGAGGAGGGAGCAAGCTTTTCTGCTTCCTTGGAGACTAGGATCTGGAACAATGGCTTCAAACTACAAGAGAGGAGATTCCATCTGAACATGAGGAAGAACTTCCTGACTGTGAGAGCCGTTCAGCAGTGGAACTCTCTGCCCCGGAGTGTGGTGGAGGCTCCTTCTTTGGAAGCGTTGAAACAGAGGCTGGATGGCCATCTGTCAGGGGTGATTTGAATGCATTATTCCTGCTTCTTGGCATGGGGTTGGACTGGATGGCCCAGGAGGTCTCTTCCAACTCTAAGATTCTATGATTCTATGAATTGGATTTACCTATTTCTTTAAAGTGCTTTTTTACTCTACTGCTTTTTAATTATCTTCGATAAAGGGATTGTTTTCCTACTCAACGTTGTGGTGTTTAAAGTCACAGGGTTTTTCCTGGTCTGGAGTGCAACAGGGATAGGATGTCTACGCTATGAATCTTTGGAGATGAGCAACAACACTTTGAAAGACCAGATTTTAATATAAAATATAAAATAATCATAAATAATATAAAATATAGAATTCACAGAGATGTGGGGTAGGAAAATCAAAGTGCAGTTAAAGGGAAAATGCCCCCAAATCCATGGTTTCAAGGGGGAGCTGCGTTTGTTTTCCATGCTGGTTTGCCTTTGCAATTAAAAGCGAAAGGTTGCTCGGCACCCAGTGGAAGATCGTTAATTAAAAGTGTTAATTTTCTAATAAGCCAAAGACTTGCAATCAGAAGTGAATGTTACTGACATTAAGTCCTCTCATTCCCAGATATCTATGCACATGATTGTAATTATCCTTAATCAGTTGGGTATTAGCTCAGAAGCGACTTCCTTTTGGGGCCTGGAAATGAGAGCGACTTCCTTGGTCGCTTGTGTATCTTCTTATTCTCCTCCAACTCCTCCTTCTACTTCTTCTCCACCTCCTTCTCCTCCTCCTCCTACTTCTTCTCCTTCTACTTCTTCTCCTCCTCCTCCTTCTACTTGTACTTCTCCTTCTTCTCCTCCTCCACCTCCTCTTTCTCCTCTTTCTTTTCCTCCTCCTTCTTCTCCTCCTCCTCCTCCTTCTCCTCCTCTTCTTCTCCTTCTACTTCTCCTCCTCCTCCTCTTTTTCTTCTCTTCTTCTTCTCCTCCTCCTCCTTCTTCTCCTACTTCTCTTCTTCTCTTCTCCTCCTCCTACCTTCTTTTTCTCCTCCTCTTCTTCTCCTTCTTCTCTCCTTCCCTCCTCTTTCTCCTCTGTCTCTCCTTCTTCTTTTCCTCCTTCTCTTCTCCTCCTCCTTCTTCTCCTCCTTTTACTTCTCCTTCTTCTCCTCCTTCTTCTCCTCCTCCTCTTTCTTTTCCTTCTCCTTCTCCTCCTCTTCCTCCTTCTACTTCTCCTCCCCCTCCTCCTCCTCCTTCTCCTCCTCCTCCTTCTACTTCTCCTCCTCCTTCTTCTCCTACTTCTTCTCCTCCTCCTCTTTCTTTTCCTTCTCCTTCTCCTCCTCTTCCTCCTTCTACTTCTCCTCCCCCTCCTCCTCCTCCTTCTCCTCCTCCTCCTCCTCCTCCTTCTCCTCCTTTTCTTCTCCTCCTTCTTCTCCTACTTCTTCTCCTCCTCTCTTTCTTTTCCTTCTCCTTGTTCTCCTCCTTCTCCTCCTCCTCCTCCTTCTTCTCCTCCTTTTACTTCTCCTCCTTCTTCTCCTACTTCTTCTCCTCCTCCTCTTTCTTTTCCTTCTCCTTCTCCTCCTCTTCCTCCTTCTACTTCTCCTCCCCCTCCTCCTCCTACTTCTTCTCCTTCTTCTTCTCCTTCTTCTTCTCCTCCTCCTCCACAGGCGCCACACTTGCGTTTTAGGGGTTTTAATTATTCTTCTTTTTAGATAGTTTCTGGTTTCATTCCCTTTTCACCATTACAGTCTGTGGGTTTTCAATTGGATGCTGGGTTGTTTTTACCACTCTTTGCTGCTTCGAGTCTCTTGAAGACAGTGGTTCTCAACCTTTCTAATGCCGTGGCCCCTAAATGAAGTTCCTCATGTTGTGGTGACCCCCAACCATATTTTCGTTGCTATTTCATAATGGTAATTTTGCTGCTCTTATGAATCATAATGGAAACGTGATATGCAGGATGCATTTTCATTGTTAGAAATCGAACATAATTAAAGCATAGTGATGGATTACAAAAACAATATGCTCGGAGAGTATGGACAATGGAGGATGGGATATGCAGTACCTTCAACCGATTCAGCTCTGACTTCCACAGACCACTGAGACCCCCACAAATTATAGACCTGGAACAAACTTGGCACACACAACCCCAATGATCAACAGAAAATACTGGAAGGGTGGGAGGAATCCTTCTCCTCCTCCTCCTCCTCCTCCTTCTACTTCTTCTTCTCTTCTCCTCCTCCTCCTTCTCCTCCTCTGGCACCACGAGGTGCAGAGCCAACCTTCAGAAATGGGGCCACAAAGTGGAATCCACGACATACGAGTGTGGAGAAGAACAAACCACTGACCACCTGCTGCAATGCACCCTGAGCCCTTCTGCCACATGATGCACAAGGGAGGACCTCCTTGCGGCAACCCCAGAGGCACTCCACGTGGCCAGATACTGGACAAAGGACATTTAATGGAATACCAAGTCTGCAAAATTTGTGTGTTTTTTTTATCTGTTTGTTTGTTTTGTTCTGTTAGAAATGTAACACAATGGTCTGGTTGCTCCTGACACGATAGATAGATAGATAGATAGATAGATAGATAGATAGATAGATAAATATCCTCCTTCTTCTCCTTCTACTTCTCCTCCTTCTCGTCCTCTTTCTTTTCCTTCTCCTCCTTCTCGTTCCCCTTCTTCTTCTCCTCCTTCTCCTCCTTCTCCTTCTTCTTGTTCCCCTTCTCCTCCTCCTCCTTCTTCTCCTTCTCGTTCCCCTTCTTCTTCTCCTCCTTCTCCTCCTCCTTCTCCTTCTTCTTGTTCCCCTTCTCCTCCTCCTCCTTCTTCTCCTTCTCGTTCCCCTTCTTCTTCTCCTCCTTCTCCTCCTCCTTCTCCTTCTTCTTGTTCCCCTTCTCCTCCTCCTCCTTCTTCTCCTCCTTCTCGTCCTCTTTCTTTTCCTTCTCCTTCTTCTCATTCCCCTTCTTCTTCTCCTCCTTCTTCTCCTCCTTCTCCTTCTTCTTGTTCCCCTCCTCCTCCTCCTCCTTCTTCTCCTCCTTCTCGTCCTCTTTCTTTTCCTTCTCCTTCTTCTCGTTCCCCTTCTCCTCCTCCTCCTCCTTCTACTTCTTCTCCTCTTTCTTTTCGTTCTTCTCGTTCCCCTTATTCTGGGTGGTTACTGGGGTAGAATCATCTGGGCGTCTAGGATTCCTTCTTTCCTCCCTTTGCTCATCTCTCTGGGTTAAATCCAGTCCTGATTCTTCTTGAGTAGGCGAGGCGGCAGCGCCCTCTGGCGTTCCGTGGCGTGTAGCGCTCCCTCCTTCCCTCCCTCCCTCCCTCCCACTCGCGGCCGTGGAAAGGAAGGGAAGGGAAGGGAAGGGAGGCGGAGTCAGCGGCGGCGCTGGGTCCGGGTGCGGGTCCGGCTGCGGGGCGAGCATGGGTCCCGGCTTGGCGCTGGGGCTCTTGTCCACGGCCGGCCTCCTGCTGGCTTTGCAAGCCTCCCCGCCAGGTAAGCCTCCCACGCCCCGCGTGGATCCCCTCCCTCCCTCCCTCCCTCCCTCCCTCCCTCCCTCCGGACACAGACTTCCAAAGTTCGGGATGGGACACCTTGGGGCCCTTTGTCGCTTAATTGCATGTGTTTTGATGTGTTCTATGTTCTTCTTGCCATGGCATGTTGGCCATTGGGTGTCATTTGGGTGGAAGCCCCCCACGGAGACCCACCCGCGGAGATTAGGCAGGACAGGAAGAAAGAAAGAAACATCCTCCTCCTCCTCCTCCTCCTCATCATCATCCTATTGTGTGTCAGGAGCAACACATATACTTGGTTGTTGTAGGTTTTTTCGGGCTGTATGGCCATGTTCTAGAGGCATTCTCTCCTGACGTTTCGCCTACATCTATGGCAAGCATCCTCAGAGGTAGTGAGGTCTGTTGGAACTAGGAAAGTGGGTGTATATATGTCTGTGGAATGACCAGGGTGGGACAAAGGACTCTTGTCTGCTGGAGCTAGGTGGGAATGTCTCAACTGACCACCTTCATTAGCATATAATGGCCTGACAGTGCCTGGAGCAATCTTTTGTTGAGAGGCGATTAGATGTCCTTGTAAGTTTTTTTCGGGCTACATGGCCATGTTCTAGAGGCATTTCTCCTGACGTTTCGCCTGCATCTATGGCAAGCATCCTCAGAGGTAGTGAGGTCTGTTGGAACTAGGAAAATGGGTTTATATATCTGTGGAATGACCAAGGTGGGACAAAGAACTCTTGTCTGTTGGAGCTAGGTGTGAATGTTTCAACTGACCACCTTGATTAGCATTTGATGGCCTGGCAGTGCCTGGGGCAATCTTTTGCTGAGAGGTGATTAGATGTCCCTGTCTGCTTCCTCTCTGTTGTTGTTCTGTTGCAATTTTAGAGTTTTAATACTGGTTGTCAGATTTTGTTCATTTTCATGGTTTCCTTCTTTCTGTTGAAATTGTCCACATGCTTCTTGTGGATGTCAATGGCTTCTCTGTGGCTCCTCATCTAATCACCTCTCAACAAAAGACTGTCCCAGGCACTTATTTATTTATTTATTGATTGATTTATCTATCGTGTCAGTGCGACCAGTCGATTATATTACATTTCTAACAGAACAAAGCAAAAAAACAGGCAAAATACAAAATGTGTGAGTTTGGTAGTTGATTAAATGTCCTTTGACCAGTCTCTGGCCACTTGGAGTGCCTCTGGTGTTGCCGCAAGAAGGTCCTCCATGGTGCATCATGTGGCAGGGCTCAGGTGTTCAACAAAAGATTGTCCCAGGCACTGCCAGGCCATCAAATGCTAATCAAGGTGGTCAGTTGAAACATTCACCCCTAGCTCCAGCAGACAAGAGTCCTTTGTCCCACCCTGGTCATTCCACAGATATATAAACCCTTTTTCCTACTTTCCAACAGACCTCACTACCTCTGAGGATGCTTGCCATAGATGCAGGCGAAACGTCAGGAGAGAATGCCTCTAGAACATAGCCATACAGCCCGAAAAAACCTACAACAACCCAATCAGGGACATCTAATCACCTCTCAACAAAAGACTGTCCCAGGCACTGCCAGGCCATCCAATGCTAATCAAGGTGGTCAGTGGAAACATTCCCACCTAACTCCAGCAGACAAGAGTCCTTTGTCCCACCCTGGTCATCATTCCACAGATATATAATCCCTTTTTCCTAGTTCCAACAGACCTCACGACCATAGATGCAGGCGAAACGTCAGGAGAGAATGCTTCTAGAACATGGCCATATAGCCCGGAAAAACCTACAACAACCCATTCATACCTAGCTCCAACAGACAAGAGTTCTTTGTCCCACCCTGGTCACTCCACAGATATATAAACCCCTTTTCCTAGTTTCAACAAACCTCACTACCTCTGAGGATGCTTGCCATAGATGCAGGCGAAACGTCAGGAGAGAATGCTTCTAGAACATGGCCGTATAGCCTGGAAAAACCTACAACAACCCATTCACACCTAACTCCAGCAGACAAGAGTCCTTTGTCCCACCCTGGTCATCATTCCACAGATATATAATCCCTTTTTCCTAGTTCCAACAGACCTCACGACCATAGATGCAGGCGAAACGTCAGGAGAGAATGCTTCTAGAACATGGCCATATAGCCCGGAAAAACCTACAACAACCCATTCACACCTAGCTCCAACAGACAAGAGTTCTTTGTCCCACCCTGGTCACTCCACAGATATATAAACCCCTTTTCCTAGTTTCAACAAACCTCACTACCTCTGAGGATGCTTGCCATAGATGCAGGCGAAACGTCAGGAGAGAATGCTTCTAGAACATGGCCGTATAGCCTGGAAAAACCTACAACAACCCATTCACACCTAACTCCAGCAGACAAGAGTCCTTTGTCCCACCCTGGTCATCATTCCACAGATATATAATCCCTTTTTCCTAGTTCCAACAGACCTCACGACCATAGATGCAGGCGAAACGTCAGGAGAGAATGCTTCTAGAACATGGCCATATAGCCCGGAAAAACCTACAACAACCCATTCATACCTAGCTCCAACAGACAAGAGTTCTTTGTCCCACCCTGGTCACTCCACAGATATATAAACCCCTTTTCCTAGTTTCAACAAACCTCACTACCTCTGAGGATGCTTGCCATAGATGCAGGCGAAACGTCAGGAGAGAATGCTTCTAGAACATGGCCATATAGCCTGGAAAAACCTACAACAACCCATTCACACCTAGCTCCAGCAGACAAGAGTCCTTTGTCCCACCCTGGTCATTCCACAGATATATAATCCCTTTTTCCTAGTTCCAACAGACCTCACGACCATAGATGCAGGCGAAACGTCAGGAGAGAATGCTTCTAGAACATGGCCATATAGCCCGGAAAAACCTACAACAACCCATTCATACCTAGCTCCAACAGACAAGAGTTCTTTGTCCCACCCTGGTCACTCCACAGATATATAAACCCCTTTTCCTAGTTTCAACAAACCTCACTACCTCTGAGGATGCTTGCCATAGATGCAGGCGAAACGTCAGGAGAGAATGCTTCTAGAACATGGCCGTATAGCCTGGAAAAACCTACAACAACCCATTCACACCTAACTCCAGCAGACAAGAGTCCTTTGTCCCACCCTGGTCATCATTCCACAGATATATAATCCCTTTTTCCTAGTTCCAACAGACCTCACGACCATAGATGCAGGCGAAACGTCAGGAGAGAATGCTTCTAGAACATGGCCATATAGCCCGGAAAAACCTACAACAACCCATTCATACCTAGCTCCAACAGACAAGAGTTCTTTGTCCCACCCTGGTCACTCCACAGATATATAAACCCCTTTTCCTAGTTTCAACAAACCTCACTACCTCTGAGGATGCTTGCCATAGATGCAGGCGAAACGTCAGGAGAGAATGCTTCTAGAACATGGCCGTATAGCCTGGAAAAACCTACAACAACCCATTCACACCTAACTCCAGCAGACAAGAGTCCTTTGTCCCACCCTGGTCATCATTCCACAGATATATAATCCCTTTTTCCTAGTTCCAACAGACCTCACAACCTCTGAGGATGCTTGCCATAGATGCAGGCGAAACGTCAGGAGAGAATGCCTCTAGAACATGGCCATACAGCCCGAAAAAACCTACAACACCCATCCCGGCCTCAGTGTTAGGTTTGCCTGCTGCCCTTCCTTTCCGCAGTGATTTTCTAGCCGTGCCTCGGGGTGGCTTAAGCAAGTCGGGTGGTGTTAATCCTTCCCAGTGGTCTTACTCCGCACGGGCCGTTGATCCGCCGGCAGCGGCGGCTTCCCTAATAGGGTTAAGAGGAGTTAAAATTAGCGCTCTTGGTTCCCCAACTGACGCTGACTCACAGCCCTCTCCTTCCTCCCTTGTCTCTGGAGGTGGCATGAACGTCCTCCTCGTCATCGCCGACGACCTGCGCCCCGCCTTGGGGTCCTACGGGGACAAAGTGGTGAAATCCCCCAACATCGACCAGCTGGCCTCCCGGAGCGTCGTCTTCCAAAACGCCTTCGCCCAAGTAAGCAGCCCCACCTCACCTCCTGCACTTGCGTGCTCTTCACCACTTCTACAGTGTTGTGTGTGTGCATGGGGGTTGGACCAGGGGCGGCGCAACCCTTACGCAAAGTAAGCATTCGCGGTATAGTTGATTTCGCCAGGGGTGCTCTTGAGGCGCTCTTGGCAGGAAATAGACCTTGACATAAGCGGGTTGTAGTTACTGGGATGTATAGTTCGCCTACAATCAAAGAGCACTCTGAACTCCACCAAGGATGGAATTGAACCAAACTTGGCACACAGAACTCCCATGACCAACAGAAAATACTGGAAGGGTTTGGTTGGCATTGACCTTGAGTTTGGGAGTTGTAGTTCGCCTACATCCAGAGAGCACAGTGGACTCAAACGATGATGGAGTTGCTGGGATTTATAGTTCACCTACAATCATAGAGCATTCTAGACTCCACCAATGATGGAATTGAACCAAACTTGTCCCAAATAACTCCCATGACCAACGGAAAATACTGGAAGGGTTTGGTTGGCATTGACCGTGAGTTTGGGAGTTGTAGTTCACCTACATCCAGAGAGCACTGTGGACTCAAACAAGTTGCGAGTTGTAGTTACTGGGATGTATAGTTCACCGACAATCAAAGAGCATTCTGAACTCCACCAATGATGGAATTAGACCAAACTAGGCACACAGAACTCCCACAACAAACAGAAAATATATATCAGTAATTGGTTTGGGGGGGGGGGGCAAAATACTGTTTGCTTACCATTGAAAATTACCTCTGCGTTGGACCTTCTGTGGACAGATGCCAGAGTCCCTGGATGCTCAAGCCCCCTTAGATACATACAATGGTGCAGCTCACATCACAATTTCCTTTTTGTGCAACCCATGACCAAAATAGACCAACATAAACTTACATAAACTCACAACTAATAATAATAATAATAATAATAATAATAATAATAATAATACCAGTAAAGGTGGTCCCAGTGGTGATTAGCACACTGGGTGCAGTGCCTCAAGACCTTGGCCTGCACTCAAACACAATCGGCGCTGACAAGATTACCACCTGCCAGCTGCAAAAGGCCACCTTACTGGAAAACAAGTGGAAAAGCTGACACGATATGAGGGTTTAAAGATCGAACTGCAAGCCAGTCAAGATAGTCCCAGTGGTGATTGGCACACTGTGTCAGGAGTCAATTTCTGACGGCATGAAGACATCGCAATTTCCCTCCGTGACATCCTGACTGAATCATTCTGGCTGCCTTTTCTCTGTAATATTTTGAAGCCAGCAGAGAGCACTGGAAACCTTGTATTGGAACTTGTGAAGCAACAAGCTCTAATAAGGAAACTGAGAAGAGGAGGGAAATGGGCAGGAAAGGTGTATAAAAGGAAGTGGTGGTGGGAAAAAGTCAGGAGTGTCTTTCTTTGCTGCAGAGATACAAGCAATATATTCATTTCCAAGCAAAACCGGCTTGTGAGTGATCATTTAATATTGCTATATAAAACCTTTAGTCTTACACACCGGGTGCAGTGCCTCAAGACCTTGGCCTGCACTTAAAAACAATCAGCGCTGACAAGATTACCATCTACCAGCTGCAGAAGGCCACCTTACTGGGATCTGCACGCATTATTCGCCAATACATCACACAGTCCTAGACACTTGGGAAGCATCCAACGTGTGATCCAATTCAGCAGCCAGCAGAGTGTCTGCTGTGGACTCATCTTGTTGTGTCTCTAATAATAATAATAATAATAATAATAATAATAATAATAATTGTGATTGGCACACTGGGGGCAGTGCCTAGAGACCTTGGCCTGCACTTAAAAACAATTGGCGCTGACAAAATGACCATCTGCCAGCTGCAGAAGGCCACCTTACTGGGATCTGCATGCATTATTCGCCGATACATCACACAGTCCTAGACACTTGGGAAGTGTCCGACGTGTGATCCAATACAACAGCCAGCAGAGTGACCTTGTCTGCTGTGGACTCATCTTGTTGTGTTTCTTTTTGTGAGAAGACCGAGGCAAAGAAGGCATTAAGTAGTTCTGCCTTTTCCCTATCACCCCCTGTCAGCATTGCCCCATCTTCTCCTCGAAGACGCCCTATCGCCTCCTTGTTTTTCCTTTTTCTACTGACATAAGTAAAGAAGGCCTTTTTATTGTTTTTAATGTCCCTGGCAAGCCTGAGCTCGTTTTGTGCTTTAGCCTTGCAGACCTTTTCCCTACAGGTGTTGGCTATTTGTTTGAATTCTTCTTTGGTGATTTCTCCCTTTTTCCACTTCTTGTTCATGTCTCTTTTGTGTCTTAGCACAGTTAGAAGTTCTTTGGACATCCATTCTGGCTTCTTTGCACTTGTTTTTATATCTTTTGTGGACATTGCTTTGAATTACTGCATTTTACTGATCTTTTACATTTTGAAATTTTCCTATTTTTTACAAGCATTTCTTTCTACTGGCTTTTTTTTACTCAGCTTCAATAAAAAGGATTGGTTTTTCACTCAACGTGTGGTGTGTTTTAAAGTCAGAGAGTATCGTTTTTGTTCTGGAGTGCAACAAACATGAAAATACAATAAAGCAAACGCAAAATAAAATGGTAGAGGGATTAATTTTGATATAGTTTGGATTGTGCGCTTACATGTTGTAAGCCACCTTGCAGAGAAAGGCGGGGTTACAACTATCTTAAACAAATAAATAAATGAAATGACTTATCTGGAGATGGTGTGGATTGGCGGTATGATGCCTAGCCTGTGTTGCGCCATTGAGTGCATGCTTTGCATGGAGGGCTAGACCCGCCAGAGCTGTGCTGCCCATTGACTCTCTCTGCCTTCCTCCTGCCCTCCCCTGCCTTCCAGCAAGCGGTCTGTGCCCCAAGCAGGGTGTCTTTCCTGACCGGGCGAAGGCCGGACACCACCAGGCTTTACGACTTCAATTCCTACTGGAGGGCGCATGCGGGAAACTACTCCACGTTGCCGCAGTATTTCCAGGAAAATGGCTACATCACCATGTCCGTCGGGAAAGTGTTTCACCCCGGTAAGCATTGAAACTGTTGGAAATCTTGGGTCTGACACATTCTCGTGGATCCCCCGATAAATAATATTTATTGTTGAGTATACATTAAAAACATTACCATGTATTGTTGAAGGCTTTCATGAATCATTGGGTTGTTGTAGGTTTTTCGGGCTGTATGGCCATGTTCTAGAGAGCATTCTCTCCTGACATTTTGCCTGCATCTGTTGCAGGCATGCTTGATGTGGTTTCGTTCATTGGTTCTTTTGTTTTTAAGGTACTCATTACGCACAGTGTTGTGGCTGAGATGTTCTGTGATGATGAGGATGATGAGATTCAGATTCCTGGCTCTTTCTGTGCCTCAGATCTCTGGGCCTGCGGCTCCCACAGACAGTGCAGAGTCAGACAGTGCATAGTCAACATCAACACAGCGGTTCTCAGGAGAAAAGAATGTTAACGAAGGAGATAGCGAACAGGTGGGGAGGCATTGGCCTCCTTCCCATGCTGATACTGAAAATACTGAAAGCCTTGATAGTGACCTGCTGATACCCAAACAGGGGATGAGCTGGAGATGTCTCTGCCTTGGTCTTTCACTATTGGCTGCTACTTCCCGGCGGATGTCAGGTGGTGCAATACCAGCTAAGCAGTGTAATTTCTCCAGTGGTGTCGGGTGCAGACACCCCGTGATAATGCAAGCTCGTCTTGATTTGCGGGTCAGGTGGAGTTCTCGCCTGGCTGGCAGACGAGAAACCAGCTCGGTGAAAGGTCATCGCAATGATTTCATGTAATGTTTTCCTGTTAGAAACGCATTTAGGCTTCTTTCAAACCAAGGGAAAGCGTCAGTTCAACGTAGCTTATTAGCCTGAAAGCTTCATGGAATAATCTCAGACTGGAAAGCAGCACGCTTGGGATTTCTTGCATTGTGATTCTTGGGGCAGTTGTTTCATTGCTTGTACCTGGGACTCTGGTTTGAACTTTGCCTATAAGGTTGTGCCTCTTGTTTTTACCTGAAGATCTTGGGAACTATATTCTGCATTTAACCTAAATCTTTGGAACGTTGCAATGCTTATTCCTTATTTTGACTTGGATTTTTTCCTCAACAAACTATAAAACGACAGCTCTTGTGTGGTGGTGTTTAGAAGCAAGGTGAAGCTTTATATTTCGCTTACTCTGAGCTGCAACACTCAGAGCATTTATATATATATAGATTGTATTATATCATAAGTGGTAGTCTATATAATTTACATTGCCTCTTCTTTTGTCTAGGGATTTCCTCGAACCATACCGATGACTATCCATACAGTTGGACCATTCCGGCTTTCCATCCTTCCTCTGAAAAATATGAAAACACGAAGGTGAACGAACGGGCCTTTTGTATAGTTTGTGGATGGGTCTCCCCAACTCTCACATTAATCATAATCATAAATGTTTATTTACATCCCGCTTTTCTCCCACGAAGCAACCAAAAGCGGCAGAGCAACCAGTCCATTATGTTACATTTCTAACAGAACAAAGCAAACAAACAGAAAAATACAAAACTTGTGAATTTGGTAGTTGGTTAAATGTCCTTTGACCAGTCTCTGGCCCCTTGGAGTGCCTCTGGTGTTGCCGCAAGAAGGTCCTCCATTGTGCATCATGTGGCAGGGCCCAGGGTGCATTGCAGCAGGTGGTCAGTGGTTTGCTCTTCTCCACACTCGCATGTCGAGGATTCCACTTTGTGGCCCCATTTCTCAAGGTTGGCTCTGCATCTTGTGGTGCCAGAGCGCAGTCTGTTCAGCGCCTTCCAAGTTGCCCAGTCTTCTGTGTGCCCAGGGGGGAGTCTCTCATTGGTATCAGGTTCTGGGTTTGAGCCTGCCACTTTTGGACTCTCGCTTGCTGAGGTGTTCCAGCGAGTGTCTCTGTAGATCTTAGAAAACTATTTCTTGATTTAAGTCGTTGACATGCTGGCTGATACCCAAACAGGGGATGAGCTGGAGATGTCTCTGCCTTGGTCCTTTCACTATTGGCTGCTACTTCCCGGCGGATGTCAGGTGGTGCAATACCGGCTAAGCGGTGTAATTTCTCCAGTGGTGTAGGGCGCAGACACCCCGTGATAATGCGGCATGTCTCATTAAGAGCCACATCCACTGTTTTAGCGTGGTGAGATGTGTTCCACACTGGGCATGCGTACTCAGCAGCAGAGTAGCATAGCGCAAGGGCAGATGTCTTCACTGTGTCTGGTTGTGATCCCCAGGTTGTGCCAGTCAGCTTTCGTATGATATTGTTTCTAGCACCCACTTTTTGCTTGATGTTCAGGCAGTGCTTCTTGTAGGTCAGAGCACGGTCCAGAGTGACTCCCAGGTATTTGGGTGTGCTGCAATGCTCCAGTGGGATTCCTTCCCAGGTAATAATCCTCAGAGCTCAGGATGCTTGTGTGTTCTTAAGGTGAAAGGCACATGTCTGTGTTTGAGATGGATTAGGGATCAGCTGGTTTTCCCTGTAATAGGCAGTAAGAGCACCTAGAGCTTTGGGGAGCTTCTGTTCAACCATCTCAAAGCTCCCTGCTTGAGCGGTAATGGCACGATCATCAGCATAGATGAAACTCTCTGTCCCTTCTGGCAGTGGCTGGTCATTTGTGTAGATGTTGAACATGGATGGAGCAAGCACGCTCCCCGGAGGCAGGCCGTTCTTCTGTTTCCGCCATCTGCTTCTCTGGCCCTGGAACTCAACAAAAGCTCCTGTTTTGTAGCAGGTTTCCTATGAGGCGGGTGAGGTGGTCGTCCTTTGTGATATTATACATTTTTCTCAGGAGGAGGCGGCGGTGGTTCACAGTCTCATAGGCTGCTGACAGGTCTATGAAGACAGCTCCTGTGATCTGCTGCCTTTCAAAGCCATCTTTTATGTGCTGAGTCAGGTTCAGCACTTGCGATGTGCAGCTTCTGCCTTTCCTGAAGGAATCAGACATGGGTCTATTTGTTCCATAATTCTATGCAAAATAAGTCTCTCCAGAACTTTGTAGAGGTGGCACAACAGGGAGATTGGTCTGTTGCTTTTTGGGTCATTACGGTCCTTGCAAAATCAGCAACAATCAAGGACCTAAATATGAAACATAATAAGCAATCAGTTAAACATAAACATAAACAAGCATTTAAAACCAGTATACATTATTGTGGCGGCTTGTCAAATCTTCTTGCTGTTTTGGATTTTGAATCCCGACATCATATACTATATAATCCCATATCATATACTAATAATATGTTGTATATATTAATGTATAATCATGTCATACAATATAATAATCATACATATGATACTACTAATAAGATTGCAGTATAATACCATATAATAATATATAATACTATGCTGTGCTAACAATCTTCTATATATATAAAAATGAAAAGGGCGTCCAACGGGACAGCAAAACTCAAAAACCCCCCCCCCGACGAAAATTTACCAAAATTCCCATGCACATACCTCAACCCACAAGGTATGCACAAATTGATTCAAAATATTAAACAACATTAAAACACACTCACAATTAGACAAAACAACTGAGCATGCGCAATGGCGCCCCGGCGCAAGTCCCCGGCGCACACACATGGCCAAACGGCCAACGCGCCCTCCGCACCCTCCCTCCCCCGTCCCGCCCCCCATGATCACGCCACACCACACCCCCTCCCTCCCCCACCCCGCCACACATGATCACGCCAGACCACACCCCCTCCCTCCCCCACCCCGCCACACATGATCACGCCACACCACACCCCCTCCCTCCCCCACCCCGCCACACATGATCACGCCACACCACACCCCCTCCCTCCCCCACCCCGCCACACATGATCACGCCACACCACACCCCCTCCCTCCCCCACCCCGCCACACATGATCACGCCACACCACACCCCCTCCCTCCCCCACCCCGCCACACATGATCATGCCAGACCACACCCCCTCCCTCCCCCGCCCCGCCCCACACGATCACGTTCGCCAAACTTACCTCCTCCCCTCCTTCTTTTTCCCCCGCCCACGCCCCCACCAAGGAAACCACGCCCCCACCAAACCCTGCCCCGCCCCTTCCCGCCCTGTCAAAATCCATCCCTCCTCCCCCTCCTTCTTCTTCCCCCGCCCACGCCCCCTCCAAGGAAAGAGGGAAAGAGAGCGAGAGAAGGAAGGAAGAGAGAAGAAAGGAGGGAGTGAGGCCAGACAGAGACGAGAGAAAGAGGGAACGCGAGAAAGAGAGAAGGAGGGAAGGAGAGAGACAGGGAGGAGAGAAAGGGGGAACGCGAGAGAGAGAGGGGGGGAAAGGAGGGAGTGTGTGAGAGAAGGAAGGAAGAGAGAAGAAAGGAGGGAGTGAGGCCAGGCAGAGACGAGAGAAAGAGGGAACGCGAGAAAGAGAGAAGAAGGGAAGGAGAGAGACAGGGAGGAGAGAAAGGGGGAACGCGAGAGAGAGAGGGGGGGAAAGGAGGGAGTGTGTGAGAGAAGGAAGGAAGAGAGAAGAAAGGAGGGAGTGAGGCCAGGCAGAGACGAGAGAAAGAGGGAACGCGAGAAAGAGAGAAGAAGGGAAGGAGAGAGACAGGGAGGAGAGAAAGGGGGAACGCGAGAGAGAGAGGGGGGGAAAGGAGGGAGTGTGTGAGAGAAGGAAGGAAGAGAGAAGAAAGGAGGGAGTGAGGCCAGGCAGAGACGAGAGAAAGAGGGAACGCGAGAAAGAGAGAAGAAGGGAAGGAGAGAGACAGGGAGGAGAGAAAGGGGGAACGCGAGAGAGAGAGGGGGGGAAAGGAGGGAGTGTGTGAGAGAAGGAAGGAAGAGAGAAGAAAGGAGGGAGTGAGGCCAGGCAGAGACGAGAGAAAGAGGGAACGCGAGAAAGAGAGAAGAAGGGAAGGAGAGAGACAGGGAGGAGAGAAAGGGGGAACGCGAGAGAGAGAGGGGGGGAAAGGAGGGAGTGTGTGAGAGAAGGAAGGAAGAGAGAAGAAAGGAGGGAGTGAGGCCAGGCAGAGACGAGAGAAAGAGGGAACGCGAGAAAGAGAGAAGAAGGGAAGGAGAGAGACAGGGAGGAGAGAAAGGGGGAACGCGAGAGAGAGAGGGGGGGAAAGGAGGGAGTGTGTGAGAGAAGGAAGGAAGAGAGAAGAAAGGAGGGAGTGAGGCCAGGCAGAGACGAGAGAAAGAGGGAACGCGAGAAAGAGAGAAGGAGGGAAGGAGAGAGAGAGGGAGGAGAGAAAGGGGGAACGCGAGAGAGAGAAAGAGAAAGAGGGGAAAGGAGGGAGTGTGTGAGAGAGAAAGAGGGAAAGGATGAAACCAAAGAGTGAAATAAGGAAAGAAAGAAAGAAAGAGGTAGAGAAGGAAGAAAGGAGAGAAAGGGGAAGGGGAAGAAAAAGAGGGGAAGGAATAGGTAGGTACCTCTCTTTTATAATAGTCCAGATATCTACCTCTACTTCGAAAATTCTTACTATAGGCCACAACAACGCGTGGCAGGGTACAGCTAGTGTTATATATATACAAATAATAATATTGTAATGTAATACAATATAATCTATATAAATAAAAATGTAATGTTCGTTTGTGGGATTAATGTAACTCAAAAACCACTGGACAAATTGACACCAAATTTGGACACAAGATACCTAACAACCCAATCTATGTCCTTCACTAAAAAGAAATGATTTCGTCATTTGGGAGTTGTAGTTGCTGGGATTTATAGTTCACCTACAATCAAAGAGGATTCTGAACTCCACCAATGATGGAATTGAACCAAACTTAGCACACAGAACTCCCATGACCAACAGAAAACACTAGAAGGATTTGGTGGGCATTGACCTTGGGTTTTGGGAGTTGTAGTTCACCTACATCTAGAGAGCACTGTGGACTCAAAACAATGATGGATCTGGACCAAACTTGGCACCAATACGCCATGTGCCCAAATATGAACACAGATGGAGTTTGAGGGAAATAGACCTTGACATTTGGGAGTTGCAGATTTATAGTTCATGTATAGTTACTGGGGGTCTTGATTTCCCAGGTTGCCTGAAGGCCATCCAGTCCAACTCCCTTCACCAGGGCAAGAAAACATAATCAAAACCCTCCTGACAAAGGGCCATCCAGCCATTCACATATATGTATATGACAGATGCAGTATGCTAGATTGGAAAGTGACCCCTAAAGAAGGACCATGATACGTTGCCTGTTCCAGATTAGGCAAATCAGACAATCTCCATATCAACACTGACAAAGAAATAGCAAGAAATACTGTTTACCCACAAGCAGAAAAAATTACATATATTAGAAACCAACACTTTCACATTACTTTATTTTCCAGATCACCAGACTGGGCCACAGCAATATAACATACATATAATGCTACTAATTGTCAGGATTATTTAGTTATGTATGTGTGTTTTTCAATGTGCTTCTATGTAATTCAAAATGTATTTCAAGATGGATTCTATTCTGCTCAATTGTGTATTAGAAAATACTGTGCTGAGGCTGTGAAACTGTAACCTTGACATAAATGAGATAACGTGTTCTCTGGCTGCGAAGAAGAGGGAGGAACTGGTCTCAGCCAGAAGTCAGATAAGCAGATGTTCAGAGACTGTTGTTTTTGCCGATTGAGTTCCTGTCTGTAGCTTGCTGTGAATAGACATGTGTAGATGTACTTAGTAAAACATAGTTTTCTGTTGTAACTGAAAGCTTGCAGAGTCCTAATTTTGAACACAGTGTCTGCTGATCTAATAATCCTTCCGCTGGCAAGCGTCAATACTCTGACACTAATAAGATTGCAGTGTAATACCATATAATAATATATAATACTAATATTATGCTATTTTAAATATATATATATATATATATATATATATATATATATTATTGATTGTAATGTGATGTTTTTGATTGTGAGCCGCTTTGAGCCTCTGTAGGAAGAGACAGATAGATAAATGAAGTGGGGTATCAATGAATACATAGGACCGAAGAGGAGAAATCTGAAGAAAGGGGAGAGGACAAAGCCAGACCTTGTTCCAATAGTTTTGTAGGATCTTCTTTCCTTGCGTTCCATGGGTGGAACTGCCTCGCCTGGCCCTGCCTGCCTCTCCTTTTCCTTTTCCTCCCCAGGTTTGCAAAGGGGCGGATGGGAGCCTCCACGCCAACCTCCTTTGCCCCGTGGACGTGTCAGAGATGCCCGAGGAGACTTTGCCGGACATCCAGAGCACCGAAGAAGCCCTCCGTCTCTTGGACATCGTGAAAGAGCATGGCCGGAAATTCTTCCTCGCCGTCGGATACCACAAACCTCACATCCCATTCAGATATCCCAAGGTGGGTGGAAACGCTTCGCTTCGGGGCACCCTCATTGCTCCCGTGGGAAATACTTTATGATCCCTTAGAGCTCTTCCTTCTGGGAACAAGGGATTAAAACAGTCTTACCACTTCATCACGCTTACTAAATCCCACTGAGTGCTACACTTAAAATCCAGGAAGCTACTCTTCTCATCACATTAGGTTGGGTTCAAGTGTAGGGTACAGCATTCTTGGCGTATTTTAGCGGTGGGGTTAGCATTCTTTTCAAACGTTTCATGACGTCGTGGGGAAGTGGATTTTTGGTGTTGTTGTTGTTGTTATTATTATTATTATTATTATTATTATTATTAATGATCTGCATGTTCGGCCACATATACATATCCACATACATACATATATACTCACAAATAGACAAGCACACACATATACACAATATGCATGTAGACATATAAACACACAAATGCACAAATACACACACACACATATATATATATACACACACATACATATACTTACACTCAGATATACATATACACATGCACACACATATACATATCCGCATACATACATATATACACACAAATATGCATATAGACAAGCACACACATATACACAATATGCATGTTGGCGTGTAAACACACAAATGCACAAATACACACACACATATATACACATATACATACATACATATACTTACACTCAGATATACATATACACATACATGCATGCACACATACATATATACATATACACATGCACACACATATACATATCCACATACATACATATTTACACACAAATATGCATATAGACAAGCACACATATACACAATATGCATGTAGACGTATAAACACACAAATGCACAAATACACACACATATATACACACACTTATATACACCCACATATATATATACGCAAACACACATATATACACAAATATATGGGGTTAAACAATTTTTTGCATATAACACGACTCCTTTTTTCTTTTCATTGCATGACGCGTAGAATTCTTTCCCCAGCCTTTCCTGTACCAAATGTTTCACGTGCTTGTTGGCAATGTGTGTTTCCTGGAGTGCTATAAGATCGAGATTCTTTTGTTTCAAGTAGTTAAAGATTCTTTTTCTTTTATTTGGTGAGTTTATGCCGTTGATGTTGTTAGAGTAGATTTTAATGTCTTTACTCATGAGGGTTTTCTGGTATCTCCCATTGTAGAACTTCTTGAGGTAGCACCAATTGATAGTTTTCTGGGGAGAATTCTCTTAGTCTTTTAAGTTCTCTTTCCTCTTGTCCATTCCGTGGTTTACTATATTTTTTGTCCTCTTCTTCGTCATCATCTGATTCATTTTCTTCCTAAAAGAAAACGCAAAAAATCTATATACTATAATGATCATAAAATAGTCATTATGAATGAAGTCACACAGCAAACCTTAGCTAGACGTAGAAAGTACTCCTTCTTAACAGAAGAACTGATCAAAAAGAAAAGAAAATTTAGATGGGAAAAAACTGAGGGCATCACAGTTACCCTAAATAATAAGAGATACTAGTTAAATTCTAAAGAAAAGGCAAGAACTTTCTATATGGACCACATAAAAGCGAAAACGCAAGAATCAGCACAAAGGAAGTTCTATAGCAATAGGAAAGGGAAGCAATCCAAAGAACAGAAAATAGAGCCAGAGGAAGACAGTGCGGCCATTATGTTGACCTTGGTTTGCTCCAAGCCTGGTCCTGGAGGTGTCCGTCCTGAGCCTGGGACCCCTCTCTTTCTCTCCCCAAGGAATTCCTCAAGCTGTACCCCTTGGAAAACGTCACGCTGGCCCCGGATCCGGACATTCCCAAAGAGCTCCCTTCTGTGGCATACAACCCCTGGACGGACATCAGGCACCGGGAAGACGTGGCAGCCCTCAACATCAGCTTCCCTTATGGGCCGATCCCGGAAGACTTCCAGGTAGGAAGCCCCGGGACCCTCGGAGGCGGGAGGAAGGCCTTCTGCACTCATTCGTACAGCTAGTTGGATAATAAAAATGTATAATATCACAAAGGGCTACCACCTCACCCGCCTCATAGGAAATCTGCTACAAAACAGGAGCTTTTTTGTTGGGTTCCAGGGCCAGAGAAGCAGATGGCGGAAACAGAAGAATGACCCTGCCTCAGGGGAGAGTGCTTGCCCCAGGGTATTTGGGGGGGGGGGGAAACACTATGGAAATGGTATCCACTCTTGATGTGCTTTGGGAGGTAGCTCTTTCAAGCACACCTTCCACCTGAAAACACCAAGATTGCTTGACTAGACTTCTCAGCCATTGCAACCTTCTGATTGTGCTTGTGATGCCTATTCCATAGCGGCGGATTCGCCAGAGTTACTTTGCCTCCGTCTCTTACTTGGACATGTTGGTTGGGAAGCTTCTGAATGGCTTGGATGATGAAGGCCTCTCTCATAATACCATTGTGGTGTTCACGGCTGACCACGGTAAGTCCTTGGTGCCCCCGGCCTCCCCGCCAGGCGCTTCCTGCAAGGTGTCCTCATAATAATAATAATAATAATAATAATAATAATACTTTATTTATATTCCACTCTATCTCCCCAAAGGGACTCAGGGTGGATTCCAAACATAAAAGGCAAACATTCAATGCCCGAATACAACAACAATACATCCATGCAGGAATCCCACCTGGCACCTGCATTCTGTGGGTGTCTCTATGGAATTAATGCCAAGTGTGGCACAGGGCTGTGGAACCCTGGGAGATGTAGTCTGGGGAGGCCCCATCCCTCTTTGGGAGAGAAGGACAAAGGCTCGGCCTGTGGTCAGGGGCCTTAGGTGGTGCTTGCAAAAAAACAGCACTCTGTTTTGCTGAGGAGTGAGTGTTCATGCACAAAGTGGAGGTGAGGCAGTTCCTTCAGAGCTCTTGATCTGGCCTAGGTTGGTCCTTGGGCGAGCATGGCGAATGGGCCAAGTACAGCAATTACGACGTCGCGACCCGCGTCCCGTTGATGTTCTACGTGCCCGGAGTGACCGCGCCCACCCCGCGCCCGGGAGAAGACGTCTTCCCTTTCATCGACCCTTTCACTCAGGTTTCCCGGCCAGCGCACCAAGGTGAGATGGTCATATTGTGGCCAAAACTCTTCCGTTGCCAGTTTGGCAGGATTGAATCAGAATCTAAGGACAGGCCCCCCCCCCCCTCCCGCCCCAAGTTGCAAACACGATGGCTTCTGTAGGTGTGTTCTTAAATTGAATTTGTATGTAAGTTGGAACAGGGACGTTTTTTAAGTGTAACTCCAGTCAAGTATGAGGGTTGAATGAAAAGTAATGCCTCCACCTTGGTAACTCCTCAACAGATGGCAGTACTGGTATTTATTTATTTATTTATTTATTATTTAAACTTATATGCCGCCACTCCCCTGGGGCTCGGAGCGGCTTACAAGAATGGCTAAAATCTAACAAAATTTAAAAGCAATTTAAAACAATTTAAAAACAACACTATCAAACATTAAAAGCCTGTCAAAACAGGTATGTCTTACATGCCCTGCGGAAAGCTGGTAAGTCCCGCAGGGCACGAACTTCAGGTGGCAGAGCATTCCAGACTGATGGCGCCACTGCTGTGAAGGCTCTGCGTCTGGTTGCCGTGACGCAAGGTCTTGACACTGGGGACCTCCAATAGATCTTGGTCCTCAGAACGGAGGGATCTCTGGGGTTGGTAGGGGGTGAGACGATCCCTCCGTTGCGGCAGTACTGGCTTGTTCAGTAGACTCTCCTCTACAGTTGCATTTTGGTGGGAAGCCTTAGCATTGAACAGTTGTGTTGTTAAAGTGCAAAGTATGGAACCCTGCGCAGACGGTCGGTCAATGTGATTTAAGCTACTTATGTGGCAGGTACTGGCTTGTTCAGTAGACTCTCCTCTACAGTTCCATTTGGGCAGGAAGCCTTAGCATTGAATGGTTATGTTGTTAAAGTGCGAAGTATGGAACCCTGCGCAGACGGTTGGTCAATGCGACTTAAGCAACGTGCAGTCATTGAATTCTTGACAGCAGAAGGTGTCACCTCATCATCTTTAAACTTACTTGCCCAACGATGCACAGTACTCAGTTCAACACAATCACCATAAACAGCTTGCATTCTCTGATGGATCTCCTTTGGGGTGACACCTTCTACTGTCAATGATGCTGGGGAAAATGGAAGGAAAAAGGAAGAGGGTCCGACCAAGGGCAAGATGGATGGATGGCATCCTTGAAGTGACTGGCTTGACCTTGAAGGAGCTGGGTGTGGTGATGGCCGACAGGGAGCTCTGGCGTGGGATGGTCCAGGAGGTCAATAAGAGTCAGAAGCAACTGAACGAATGAACAACAACAAACAATATATTATATTATTAGCATAGTACAATATCAGTATTATATATTACTATATTGTACTATACCATTATATTGTAATATTATTAATAATATTACATGTAAAATATATAATTATAATATTGTCTTATTATTAGTAGTATTATATCGCATTACATTATCATATTATAAATATTATATATATATACACAATATATTATATTATATTATATTATTAGAAAAGCACAGGAGACAAGATGGAACTGTCTTCAATGGTCACCCCCTCTCTGGCCAGAGCAGCAGTTTGTGCCAGTGGGGGGGGGGGCTCCCCACTGATGATATAGGTGGGTTCCTTCCTCCCTCCCTCCCTCCCTCCCTCCCTCCCTTCCTTCCTTCCTTCCTTCCTTCCTAGGGGAAGCGTTCTCCCTCTCCCTGTAGTCTCAGCCCTGTTCTTAACTAGGAGTTGTTTGTAAGTGGGGTGTTTGTAACTCGGGGAGGGCTTGTATCCCGTTGTCCTTGTGTCCCCCTCCAGGGCAGCCGGCCGCAACGGTGGAAGGACCTTTCCCCATGACAATAACAACCTTCCAAAAGTGGATTTCCCTCCCTCCCTCCTTCCCTTCCCTTCTGGGATGACTTCTCACTACTTCAGTCCTTCTTCGGGTGTCTTTTTATGGGTGACGATGTGGGGGGAAAAATATTTTCTTTTAAATCCTTTTACTGTCTTGTATTGATGTATTTTTAAATTGGCTGGGGCTTTCTTGTGAGCTTTTACCTTGAGGCTTTTATATTACAGGCTTGAGACACTCGTGTAGTAAACCAAGTAACAAAGTTTATTTATAGGTTCTGGCTCCAACGCTTATGGTTATATTTGTGTGTTCTGTTACAGTCTTGAGTCTTACATTCAATATCATTCACTTAGTTAACTTTTCCTATCAAACTTCAACTGTTTCACATCAACAAATATGTTACTTTTTCATACACTCTTGACAGAACTATATTCCGCCTTAAACCACACTGGCACTTCTTTATTTTCCTTAAAACTTAAGCTCCATTTTCCTAACTGCTTTTCTCTCACAGAAGTTCCTAACTGTCCTTCACAAACAGGAATCCCTAACTGAACTTTTCTGACTCTCTAACTGCCTATTTTTAAACTTAACTCCGCCCCTTTGGAATGTTCAGCTCTCTTCCTCCCAACTGCCATTCTGGCTCAGTGGCCCTTTCAAATCCTGGCCTACACTCATCTGCATACGACCAATCGGCTGCACGTATGCAAATTAATCTTGCCTCTACTGTTGCTACCCTATTTCTGCCAATTCTGCCACATTGCAACATAGAGCTATACATCAAAAATTTAACATAGATCAACAAATTCGCTACACCTTCCCTTCCCCTTAACTAGGAGTTGTTTGTAAGTGGGGTGTTTGTAACTCGGGGAGGGCCTGTATCCCGTTGTCCTTGTGTCCCCCTCCAGGGCAGCCGGCCGCAACGGTGGAAGGACCTTTCCCCATGACAATAACAACCTTCCAAAAGTGGATTCCCCTCCCTCTTCCTTTCCTTCCCTCCTTCCTTCCTTCCTTCCTTCCTTCCTTCCTTCCTTCCTTCCTTCCTTCCTTCCTTCCCTTCCTTCCTTCCTTCCTTCCTTCCTTCCTTCCTCTCTCTGTGGTCTCAGCCCTGTTCTTAACTAGGAGTTGTTTGTAAGCCATGTGTTTGTAACTCGGGGAGGGCCTGTATCCTGTTCTCCTTCCGCCCAGTGATGCCCCCCCCCCCCGTGTCTCCCTCCAGGGCATCCTGACGCAACGGTGGAGCTGGTGTCGCTCTTTGCCACGCTGGCGGAGCTTGCAGGGCTGCCGGCTCCTCCCCCGTGCCCGCAGCCCTCCTTCGGGGAGACCCTGTGCGTCGAGGGGCAGAGCGTGGCTCGGTACTTCCCGCCGGGCCAAGTGGGAGGAGAGGACGCGGCCGCCGACCCTCCGATCGCCCTCAGCCAGTACCCTCGCCCCGGAGACACCCCCGGCTGGAACTCGGACCTGCCGGTGCTCCAGGACATCCGCGTGATGGGCTACTCCATCCGTACTGCGGATTACAGGTGCACGGTGTGGTTTGGCTTCGACCCCAACAACTTCACGGTGCACCTGAGGGACGTCCACGGCGGGGAGCTCTACTTCACCGAGAGCGACCCCAACCAAGATCACAACATGTTCAACAACCACACACACCGTGGTCCCCTGATCCAAAAGCTTTGCAAGATCTTGGAGCGTTGAACCGGGAACCAGTTTCCTACCTGCGCGGGATTTAGAGCTACGTTAGTTCTACCAATACAGAGCTTTGTGTCATACACAAGGAGGGCTCCTCAACCAGAGTTCACTTTCTGCTACAGATTGTAAAATATTGAGGCGTTACTGATTTTTCTACAAAACGTGAATTCAGTATTCATTAGTCTTTATCTCTATCAATAAAAATGTAATGTTTGTTTGTGGGATTAACATAACTCAATAACCACTGGGGGAATTGACACCAAATTTGGACACAAGACACCTAACAGTTCAATTTATGTCCTCCACTCAAAAAAAATTGATTTTGTCATTTGGGTGTAGTTGCTGGGATTTATAGTTCACCTACAATAAAAGAGCATTCTGAACTCCACCAATGATGGAATTGGGCCAAACTTAGCACACAGGGCTCCCATGACCAACATAAAAAACTGGAAGGGTTTAGTAGACATTGACCTTGAGTTTGGGAATTGTAGTTCACTCACATCCAGAGAGCACTGTGGACTCAAACAATGATGGATCTGGACCAAACTTGGCACGGATATTCCATATGCCAAATATGAACACAGATGGAGTTTAAGGGAAATAGACCTTGACATTTGGGAGTTGTAGTTGCTGGGATTTATAGTTCACCTACAATCAAAGAGCATTCTGAACTCCACCAATGATGGAATTGAACCAAACATGGCATACAGGACTCCAATGGCCAACAGAAAACACTAGAAGGGTTTTGTGGGCAATGTCCTTGGGTTTGGAGTTGTAGTTCACCTACATCCAGAGAGCACTGTGGACTCAAACAATGATGGATCTGGACCAAACTTGACACAAAAATTCCATATGCCCAAATGTGAACACTGGTGGAGTTTGGGGGAAAATTGAACTTGACATTTGGGAGTTGTAGTAACTGGGATGAATGATTGACAACTGGAAAATAGAGAACAAGAATGATTGACAACTGGAAAATAGAGGGAGGAAATGTGGAGGCCGTGACAGAGTTTGTATTTCTAGGCGCAAAGATTACAGCAGATGCAGACTGTGGCCAGGAAATCAGAAGACGCTTCCTTCTTGGGAGGAGAGCAATGTCCAATCTCGATAAAATAGTCAAGAGTAGAGACATCAGACTGGCAACCAAGATCCATTGTCTAGTCCAAGCCATGGTCTTCCCTGTAGTAACCTCTACGGATGTGAGAGCTGGACCTTAGGGAAGGCTGAGCGAAGGAAGATCGATGCTTTTGAGCTGTGGTGTTGGAGGAAAGTGCTGAGAGTGCCTTGGACTGCGAGAAGATCCAACCAGTCCATCCTCCAGGAAATAAAGCCCGGCTGCTCACTGGAGGGAAGGAGACTAGAGACAAAGTTGAAGTCCTTTGAATGCCACATCATGAGGAGACAGCAAAGCCTAGAGAAGGGAATGATGCTGGGGAAAGTGGAAGGCAAAAGGAAGAGGGGCCGACCAAGGGCAAGGCAGGTGGATGGCATCCTTGAAGTGACTGGACTGACCTTGAAGGAGAACCTGGGGGTGGTGACAGCCGACAGGGAGCTCTGGAGTGGGCTGGTCCATGAGGTCACGAAGAGTCGGAGACGACTGAACGAATGAACAACAACAACAAGAAGTAACTGGGATGTATAGTTCATCTACAATCAAAGAGCATTCTGAACCCCACCAAGGTTAGAATTGGGACCAACTTCCCACACAAAACCCCATGACCAACAAAAAGTACTGCGCTTTCTGATGATCTTTGGCGACCCCACTGACACTCCCTCGCAACCCCCCCAGGGGTCCCGACCCCCAGGTTGAGAAACACTGCATTAAGGGAAAGGGAGTTGTTGCCAGCTTGTTGTCCTGGTTCTCCTCATGATGCAAGGGATGAGCGTTGCTTCTCTCTCCGAATGCTGTAGATGAGTGTGATCTCCTGCCAAGGGAATGGCCGGAGCCCCTTGACCGGCCCCTCCTTGGCCCAGCCTTCGCAAACATGTCACTCCGGGCCTTCGTTGCAGCCTCGCCTCCGAAACATAATCACGGGTAGGAAGGAGAAAGGCAAACAGATTAGCTGATTGAACAGGACGGTCTCCTCATTTTCTCATCACGGACGCTGGTTTCCCTTGGCTGTAATGGGATTCGTGAGCGTTCTGGCTATTGATCACGGGGGACGTTTGGGGAGGTGGAAGGCCAGCCATGGTTGGGCGCAAAATGCATCCTGAATCTATAGCAGCGTCCAACTTTTACGTGGTTCTCAGGCTGGCATCTATCTCCAGCTCCAAGGAGACCTCACAAGACATTAAAGGACAGGGGCCACCCCTGAGAACGCCCTGCATTAGCAATGGTCTGGGGTTTCCCTCTCAAAGGCCCTGTCCAAGGTACTGAAATGTAATCCCATGTTTGTGGGATTAACATAACTCAAAAACCACTGGACTAATTGCCACCAAATTTGGACACAAGACACCTACTAACCCAAGGAGTCACCATCACTTGAAAAAAATGATTTTGTCATTTGGGAGTTGTAGCTGATGGGATTTATAGTTCACCTACAATCAGAGAGCATTCTGAACTCCACCAATGATGGAATTGAACCAAACGTGGCATACAGGACTCCCATGACTAACAGAAAACACTAGAAGGGTTTGGTGGGCATTGACCTTAAGTTTGGGAGTTGTAGTTCACCTACATCCAGAGAGCACTGTAGACTCAAACAATGATGGATCTGGACCAAACTTGGCATGAATATTCCATATGGCCAAATGTAAACTCAGATGGGGTTTGGGGAAAATAGACCTTGACATTTGGGAGTTGTAGTTACTGGGATTTATAGTTTAAATAAAATGTAATGTTCATTTGTGGAGTTAACATAACTCAAAAACCACTGGATGAATTGCCACCAAATTTGGCTACAAGACACCTTTCAGGCCAAGGAGTGACCATCACTTGAAAAAAATGAGTTTGTCATTTGGGAGTTGCTGGGATTTATAGTTAACCTACAATCAAAGAGCATTCTGAACGCCACCAATGATGGAATTGAACCAGACGTGGCATACAGGACTCCCATGACCAACAGAAAACTCTAGAAGGGTTTGGTGGGCAGTGTCCTTTGGTTTTGGAGTTGTAGTTCACCTACATCCAGAGAGCACTGTGGACTCAAACAATGATGGATCTGGACCAAACTTGCCACGAATATTCCATATGCCCAAATGTGAACTCAGATGGAGTTTGGGGGAAATAGACCTTGACATTTAGGAGTTGTAATTACTGGGATTTATAGTTCACCTACAATCAAAGAGCATTCTGAACCCCAGCAATGACAGATTTGGGGCAAACTTCCCACACAGAACGCCCATGACCAACAGAACATACTTCAGGCCATCCACTCCAACTCTCTTCACCGGGGCAAGAAAACATAAACAAAGCCCTCCTGACAAAGAGCCATCCAGCCATAGATTTAGATAGATATGATTCACACACAGAGAGATATAGTATCATAGATTTGAAAGGGACCCCTGAAGAAGGACAATGATATGTTGCATGTTCCAGAGTAGGCAAATCAGACAATCTCCACGTCAACACTGACAAAGAAACAAGAAGAAATACTGTTTACCCACAAGAATCAAGACATGACATACATTAGAAACGAACACTTTCTCATTATTTTCCAGATCATCAGATTGAGCCACAGCAACGCCTGGCAGGGGATGGCTATACACACACACACACACACACACAGAGAGAGAGAGAGAGTCTAGTATATAAATAAAATAAATACAATGCATTTCCTACAGTCTCAGTTCCTGTCCTGTCTGGAAGAGGAACTGATTGTAATACATATCTTTTCCCACTAAGTGTCAGTCAAGCAATGGGGAAAACCACCCTCTGCATCCCAGAAGTAGAAAAGCATTTCCACCCTTCAGCTTGATTTGACAGCCACGAAGAGAAATGTGGTGCTTCGGATACCATGAACTGGGTCCTAGAGCAAACAAAGCCCCAACTTCTCCTAGAAGCCACAATGACTCCTGCTCAGGATCTTCATTCATGACTCTTAGAAGAAGGGCGAGAAGGCAGGATCATCAAGTTTGCAGACGGGACCAAATGGGGAGGGAGAGCCAAGACTCCAGAGGACAGGAGCAGGATTCAAAGGGATCTTGACAGATTAGAGAGATGAAGGGCCAAAACTAACACAATGAAGTTCAACAGTGACAAATGCAAGATACTCCACTTTGGCAGAAAAAGCAAAATGCAAAGATACAGAATGGGGGACGATGAGCCTGGCTCGAGAGCAGTACGTGTGAAAAAGATCTTGGAGTCCTCGTGGGGAGGAAGTTAACATGAGCCAACAATGTGATGTGATGGCAAAAAAGCCAATGGGATTTTGGCCTGCATCAAGAGGAGCCTAGTGTCTAGATCTAGGGAAGTCATGCTCCCCATGCTCTATTCCGCTTTGGTTAGACCACACCTGGAATATTGTGTCCAATTCTGGGCACCACAATTCAAGAGAGATATTGACAAGCTGGAATGTGTCCAGAGGAGGGTGACTAAAATGATCAAGGGTCTGGAGAACAAGCCCTATGAGGAGCGGCTTAAGGAGCTGGGCATGTTTAGCCTGAAGAAGAGAAGGCTGAGAGGAGACATGATAGCCATGTATAAATACTGAGAGGAAGCCACAGGGAGGAGGGAGCAAGCTTGTTTTCTGCTTCCCTTGGAGACTAGGACGCAATCAATGGCTTCAAACTACAAGAGAGGAGATTCCATCTGAACATGAGGAAGAACTTCCTGACTGTGAGAGCCGTTCACCAGTGGAACTCTCTGCCCCGGAGTGTGGTGGAGGCTCCTTCTTTGGAAGCTTTTAAACAGAGGCTGGATGGCCATCTGTCAGGGGTGATTTGAATGCAATATTCCTGCTTCTTGGCAGAATGGGGTTGGACTGGATGGCCCAGGAGGTCTCTTCCAATTCTAGGATTCTAGGATTCTATGAAAGGAAGAAAGGGGCAAAGAGGAGGTGGAAAGGAGCAGAAAAAGAGGAAGAGGACAGGAAGAGTAGAAGGAGAAGAGGAGGAGAAAGAGCAGAGGAGGAGGTGCTGGAGGAGGAGAAGAAGAGGATGAGGAGACACGGCAGCCCAGGGCTTTTGAACTCTGTGACGAGAGAGGGAGACTATTTCTTTATTAAAGGAAAACCTCTTTGCCCTTATACCGATTCAGTTTCTTCTTTTACATT